CCTTACAACATTAATCCTCCATTGAAAGAAACTCCATTAAGCCTCCATTGAAAGAGACTGGAAATTCATATTTTTCGTGAGTAGCCCAGATACAGAATTTGATTTTAGCATAAAGGAGACTAAATTTCCTCTGTGGGATGTTTAAAGAAATAGCTCTGTGCTAGGCGTGGTGACACTGCAGGCCAGCTTCCCAGGTCTTGGAGGCTGAGGCCAAAGCACCAAAAGTTTGAGCCCAATCTGAGCAGCTTAATGATTTAGTGAGTCTCAAAATAAAAAACAAAAAAGGGTTATACGCATAGCTCAGTGAGAAGAGCCTTGGCTCTTTCCTCCATACTGTAAAATACAGCAATTCAATTATTCACTTAATCATCAGCACATATTTATTAAATTCATGCAGCATAGAAGACCACATCTTTCTTGGTCCAGGTTTTCAATTTTTATTTAGGGAAGCACTATATCTTTTTAGCTAAAAATTCTATTTTTTTTTTCTTTTTGTCTTTTTTTCATTTTTATTGGTACCGGGGATTGAACTCATGACTGCCTGCTTGCAAGGCAGGCGCTTATGCCGCTGAGCTAAATCCTCAGCCCCTAGCTAAAAATTTTTAATTAATGTAAATTGTTCTTATACTACCCTAAGTCACCTCAAGAAAAATCAGAATCTAATTTTAGCAACACAAACAAAAGTATGAAAAATCATTCTACTTGCTGCCACTTACATTTTAAAATCTGAAAGCTATAGAATGTAAAAATATAGCAAAAGCTATTTATGAAAAATGCTACCATTCCAACTTTGCAGTTTTGGCAACATTATCTCTGTTCTATATTCCTGCCTTCTGATAGGAGGAAGTAAACAGTAAGAAGAAAAAGCCTTGGAAAAGCACAAGAAAAGTAAAAATTAATTACTGGATAGCTCACTTGTTTGAAGATGTTGTTATTTAAAAAAATCCTCACAAAATATATGGTCTGACCTAGGGAAGGATAAGCAGGTTTGTGTCATTCCTTTCTGTGGGTTAAAAATTTTACACTTCTGTTTTGACATCATCCCTCTTTCTCTTCCCTCTGTTTTTCTTGTGTGGCTCGAGAAAAAAAAAAGGAAAGGAGAGGGGAGAAAAATAGAGAGGATGGGAAGAGTAGAGAGAAGAGGAGAGGAGAGGAAAGGAAAGGGGAGGGGAGGGGAGGGGAGGGAAGGGAAGGGAAGGGAAGGGAAGGGAAGGGAAGGGAAGGGAAAAGCTAAGGATGTAGCTCAGTGGTAGAGATCCTGCTTAGCATGAGCGAGGCTCTGGGTTCTGTCTCCAGCACCTGCGAAAGGAGAGAGAGAAGGTAGAGAAAATTTGAACAACTGCATCCCTTAGGCATGTTGGACTAAATGGTTGCACCTGAGGCCACACACACTGTCCTTAAAACAGTAGAAGTGCAAGGAAGAAAAGAGGAGGTCCAGGTGTTAGGAGAAGGCCTGAGCCATGGCTTAAGTCACTGAACCACTTATTAGTGGTAAAAAAGCAGCAATTAGAAATAGCCCGTGTGTAACAGCTCAGCCAAAGAAGCAAGGAAAGGGAAATCAACAATCATCTAGCTACCTCTCAGCTCTTGATGGCATCCACTTTATAACAACAATAAACACTACCCCCAATAAACAGCCCTGGGTTATGGAACGCCACCATGTTCCTTAATTTGCCCTGTGGTTTCCAGAGTAGAAATGATAATGTCAAGACTAAATTTGAGAGCAGTGTGGACAAAGTACACCTGTTCCTTCCACAGAGTGACACAGGCTCCAGCAACCTGCAAGGTCAGCTCTTCCAACCTTGCCAGCTGACTTCTCAGGAGCCTTCTGAAAACAGACAAAATCCTTGATTATAAGAAAAGTCAATGCCTTCCCACACCTGGAGCCAAACAGCTCATCTACTTACATTTTCACCTGTGAAGTTCATAAACCTACAACTCGTAACACTACTCTAAAAATTAATCTTTGTATTTTTTCATTGATACCAAAATAATCTGCAACATTTTCATTGACTTTATGAATAAAAGTAGTGATGAACTTAAATTTCAGTTAAGAATTAATTCTGATTGCTTCTTAAATGACTTTTTGTGTAAGTCACACAATTCAGATGTACAAGCCAGTAGTGTGGAAAGGGATGGTTCCTCGCCTCACTCATCATAAACATCACAGTCAGCAGTCCTATCATAAAGGACAAGTTGAGGAGAGAAGAGCATAAGATGCTCTTTTAATTAAAATTCTACATGACACAGGAGTCATCAGAAATAATGGTCCAAAGACCCAGGTAAAACAGTTTTTAAAGCTAGATTTGAAGAATGGACAACCATGTAAAAATGGGTTTAGACATTGTTTAAATGCTAATGGATAGAGAGAAGAAATCCAGCAAGGCTCTCCAGTTCAGATTCTTCCTGGTTTTCCATGCAGCATTCCTTCTTCCCAGAGATAGCGAGACTCCTTTTAGAAGCAGATTTTTATAACCTATTATCAGACAAGGTAGGTCAGAGAATTTCTCCATGGCCAGCTCCTACACAGAAGAGCAGAGAAAAGTAAAGTAATATTCCTAGGTTTTATGCCTTTCTTTGGGGAGAAGGGTTCTAATTCCTATGGCCTATCTTAGGATCATCTCTGGTTCAGAGAAGAGAGAAATAGGCATGGGACACAGGAAGACAGCAGACAGTCAGAGAGGAACTATGCTTCATAGGCTGCATTGGATAATCCCTGGTGTCTTTGTTCAGAATATTCTGTCTGAGCACTGCATTTTTGGTCATCGCCTTCTGAGCCCTAACAAATTTCAGTAACAGAAATGAAACTAACAGAGCCAGCCATAGGCAGCAAATGCTAGAAGGTCAGCATTTTAAAGCTGATTAACACAAAAGTTAGACATGTATAGGTGGATTACAAACTGATTAACTTTTCTGACCTGGAAAAAAGAATTTACTATTTTCAAAATTTAGCTATTCTTAATAATTCTGTTTCTAAGCCAAATCATTCTCATTATTGGTTTTTCCATCTGTAAATGCAGATGGTAATAATGGCCAAATAAAGTTCTTAAAAGGGTGAAACAAAGGGTTTAGTAAAACATAGTGTGTGTATGCTAACTGTTAATTCCTTGCACATTAAATGTTACATGAAGCTTCCACACTGAAACAGGAGTGCTATCAGATGGAAGATCTCAAGGTAGCTGTTTCCAGTTCCCTGGTATCCAGAACAAAGAGTTGAGCAGGGGCTTTCAGAAAAATAGTAGAGTAGTGAGCAGAAGAGAAAAAAACCTCTCCAAGTTTTGGTGTCCAGACCCTGGAATACAGCAACATGAGGAAGAGGAGGAGGGAGGTGGGTCCCATGAACCCAGGAAGGATCTAAGACTTGAATCTCATAGAGAGAGACAATTCAGGAATCCAGCAAAAATAACAAAACCAAGGGTGATAGCCCTGCCGACCAGGGAGAAGCAGCAAGGAAACAATGCAGCTCCCACCCACCATGCGCTGGTGGAGACCCTACCAGCTGCCAGAGAGAAGCAGAAAGGAAGCCACCTCTGCTCCCCCAGCCCTCCCCACCAGTAAACAACCAGACCTGACACCAGCTGAGAGGATAAATGCTGAATCAGGGAAGCAACCTGACATTTGTGTTGTTTGATTGGCTGTGCAAGCCTGGCACCAGTAGTCTGGACAATTTAGAGGATAATAATATGCAATATAGTAATGATTGTGGATTTCCTACTGTCCTATCACTCTTATGTTTTGTTTCCTTTTATTATTCTGCTTACTCTCTTAAAAAACAAAAAACAAACAACAATTGAGCAGGACACCCAGGAGATTGAACTCTTAAGAGTGAAAGCGCAGGATGGAAACAGTTAGGGAAGAAGGGCAGAGCTATGACAGGAGCAGCTCCTAGGTCTCCTGAGGGATTGTACGAGGATCCACAGCTGGGAATTCACCCACCCATGGGAAGGAGGTCTTTTTGACCATGCAAAGCTTTTAGAGGAAGCATCTTGGTATCCAAAGCCCACTGAGGGAGGGGAATCAAAGCTTCAATGCAAATGAGGTTGGATGTAGACCTGATGGCCTTTATCTGTTGGCTTCCTGATATTATGACAGAGTCCTCCTTGGTCTTTCTGGTTTTTCGAGTCTTGCCTTCCAGCATTCTGTTCTTCCTGTGTCCTTTCTCTACTTCTGATCTCAAGAATCCTTGTACCTCTCTTTTACTGTCAAAATGCATGTGAGTGCCTCCAAATCTCGCTACAGAAGAGTCATGACATGCTTCAAGCACTTCTGTCCCTGTGCCACAGGAAAGGATCCTGAAGGGTTTGCAGAATGAAGGCTGAGTCCATCTGTGGTGCTGTCCACCACAGGTCTGCTGCAGTTAATGACCCCATAGCCGTATCTCACATGATTGATCCCTTCCAGATTCCACGTCCCCATGCCCTGGACTCTCAACTTCCTTTGTCCTAGGTGGCATTGACCAGTTTTGTGTCACTAGAACACTTGAGTAAATCAGCAAACACGGGAAAGGTTTATTTTAGCTTACAGAGGTGGAGAGTTCATCCATGAGGCACTGGTCTTGTTGCTTTCAGGCCTGTGGTGAGCCAGCACATCACACCCAATGGATGGAGCAGAGAGAAAGCAGTTCTCTTATCCCCAAGAGGAGAAAGAGTGGGACAGAAAGGAATTGGGGCCCCACAATTCCCTTCAAGTGCTGGTCCCCTGTAATGGAGACCTAAAGGTCCCACCCCCTAAGGGTTCCATCACCCTCTCTGCCCAGCCTCTCTGGTTGAAGGGACCAAGCCTTCAACATATGGTCCTTGGAGACCTTCCAGACTCGGATGCTGGTGCTAATTAGAAAGGAAATCACTGGGTCCAACTCTCGCCTCTGCAGGAAGCTGCATGTGCACCAAGTTCAAGATGACATTTATCTCATCAAGATCAGCTTAGAGAGTCTGTTTTCCCCAACACACCAAAAATATTTCTGCTTTTGAACTTTCCTCTTCTCTGATTTTATTTTTTAGGAGACAACAATGGATGGTCTCTGCAACTTGACAAATATTTTGCCAACTCTGCCCAAATGACTTTCCCATTTCCCTTTGATGCAGGTTGCTGTAAGTACTCACTGCCCCTGAGCCTCCTCTTCCATGCATTTGTGATAAAAGAGTGTGGTTTTAAAAGTCGGAATCTGCTACATTTTTAAAAAAAGGGTTAACTGTACTTCTGTAGTTGTAAGCTTTACTAGAGATGGAGCCTTAAATTTGGGGGTCTTATTTTTCAGTGATTCAGGGATTTTAAGTGTAAAACCAATCATGTGAACAAATACTGTAAACTAATTTATGTTAGCACTCAGAGATGCTATTTTATAAAAACTTCTTTGTCATAATCATTATAAACTTTGAGGAAAAGGAAATCAAGAAAATAGATTTTATATTTTAATTTTTGCAAGCAAAATAAAATGTTCTGGGATCTAAGCACTATTTTAGAACTATTAGTTGTAACTTGCTATTTTCAGTCATGTATATGGGAATCTTGCAAATGGAGGAGGCTTAGAGAGGGTTACTTTTGTGACATTTTAGAACAGGAAGATTTATGAAACTAATATCTTTAGGTAGATTTTGTCCATTTTAATAACTTATTCAGATATATATATATAGATAGATATATATATATACACCTTGGACCTGTAATTTCAAGCCTAGGTTTTCAAAACCTTGATTAAAAAGCAAAGATTGTGGAAGGGGAGAAATCTTTTCCTATAGATTTTTCTTTATGGTCTGCCATAAATCGTAAATTCCAGCTTTTCAAATTCTAATTTGTTTTTGTCTTTACTACTCAAATGAGATTAATAAAAATTTACTTACAAAGTATCCCATGTGCATTCCAGAGGAAGGAAGTCAAATAATTTGATCATTGAAAAACTAATTGCTGTTAAAAAAAAAAAAACTAACAGGTATAATTTAACTGCTAATATAATGTTGAAAATAATAATGATTTTAAAATGTAATTTTTATATTCTTCTATGGTATGTTGATCTTATTTCTTAAATTTTAATTGAATCTTTTTATGTCTCATTTTATTCCCCCTCCTCCCCCAAACTTTCAACAATTATTAATACACTTAAACCATTACCATGAGATAAAAATCAATAGTCAAGTGCAAATGGAAATAAAATGGCAAAGGAATACTATATAAGAAAATCCTTACTAGGAAAAGTTAGCAACTACTTCCAAAGTTCAGTTCTGAATTTTGCAGCCATTTGGTCAAAATAATGAGTTAACATAACTCTCACAATCCAGCTCCTCAAGCAAAAACAAACAAACAGGGCCATATCAGACCAAGTCAGCAAGAGAAATAAGTTTTTCCTGATCTCGCACTTTGGAAGAAATTTGTCACAAGTATAATTGCATAAGAGGAATGCAGTTACACAATAGACAATGAATTAAAAATACAGAAGAAACTCTCATCAATACTTACTGTTGAGGGGCTGGAGGTTTAGCTCAGCGGCATAAGCACCTGCCTTGCAAGCAGGCAGTCGTGAGTTTGATCCCTGGTACCAATAAAAAGGAAAAAGACCAAAAAAAAAAAAAAAAAAAAAAAAACTTACTGTTGAACAAATGCACAGCTTTTGATGGGAATTCTTTTGGTGGGAAATTACTATTAATAATCAAATATCTTTGTCAATCTTGAAAGTAGTATAAAAATTGAATGACAAGGGCAGAATAAAACGTGGGTGTGAAACTTAAATTAAGGTTCCTATTGTGCCACTTTCTTCAATCAAGTGATGATAAGGATTCATAGGGAATTAGACAGAGGTGGCTTACAGTCATTCATGTCTAAATGAAAGAAGGAGAAGAACTCCCAGGTTGCAGGCCACCCCTCACTCAAGATCAAAATCATGGAAAATATAATATCTGCCATTAACCAATACATTATCAAATTTCAAAGGTCTGATAAAAAGTTTGTCTAACCAAAAATTCACCATGCACAGGTTCCCAGTACTTGCTTACTGATTCATTACTCATCTCAAGAAGAAAAATTCACAATTTCTTATATGAAACATTTTCCACATACATACATAGGAACAGGAAATACACTGCATTTGAAAATAACATTTACATGCTGTGTCTCACATTTCCCTATCATGGATCACCCTTTTCTCCACATACATGGAGTATCTTAATCCAGTCCATATGTGTAGAATAAAGGCTGGAATTGATGCTGATTTTGCTCCTTTCCTGTTCTTCCTACGCTTCCATGCTCAAGTCTCCCTTCTTCCTGCCCACCTTTCGCTGTCCCAGCCCAACACAGGCGCTGATACATGACCTAGCATTTCAACTCAAAAACACAGGGTTAATTTTCAGTGATCATAGTCAACATGGGTACTTACAGCCAGGAGAATGTTGAGGAATTCCTGGCAGGCTCTCTGTTTATGAAGCACAAGGCTAAGTCATGACCTTGATCTCCGGCAGCCTCTTGAAGGCATCTCCGCAGTTATTGGGACAAAGGGAGGAACCTCTGTCACCTGCACCTGGTGAGGGGGTGCATTTCTTGCTCTATTCTGGGAGCAGCTGCATTCAGGGGTGCCTGCTCAAGGGGATGCTGTCCCTGCAGAGGGACACAGGCCCTGCCCAGAAAGCTTTGCAGGGAAGGTTAGACACTGAGAGCCAGTGGATAGATAAGTCCCATAGAAAATTTTGTTGGTTCTATGCTGTTTTAAATTAGCTATGGACATTTTAAAATACTTCTATGTAAAGCACAGTACTTCTGCTTTCTGTGAGAAGTTTAGTAGACTTAGCTGCACATGTTCCTAACTAGCTTAGCAACTGTTAGGGAAAGTTGTTCCTCTTGGCTATCTGGGCACCAACTATACCTATAAATACTTAGACCCCTGCTGCACAGCTGAGGGCTCCAGAAGCAAAGGCAGAGGGGAGGCGTTCCTCACTGCCACTTCTAATTCTCCATTCCCATGAGGCCAGAAATCGGGCTGCACTGGTCCTGCTGGATAACAATCACATGGCACTGTTCAGCCATGGAACACATCAGTCCAGGTGCCTGGCAGACTGTACATACACTGAGTCAGAAGCTTGAGACTTTGGCTCCAGCCCCAAGAAGTGGCCAAAACATCATCTCTTCTCCTTCTCCTTCCAAAACCCCATCAGTGAAAATGCAATGAACTTTCCATAAATGTAGTTTCAGACATCCTGAGTCTCTACATCAGCCAAAGACAGAGCAGTTTAAACAACATCTATTAGAGAACGCTTCGATTTCTAGGAAACTAAAATCCACCAATCCTATCATTCACTGTTATTGTATAGTCCTCTGTTAAAGGCTTTGATGATGCTATTAATAACTACTTTATCCTGAGATAAAAGCTTTCACACAGACATTAAACCACACCACATGGGGTCACTTCTTCCTTCTGTGGCCTAAAAGCAGATGATCTTACTCATTTTGCAACAAAAGGAAAACATGTTGGGTTAGTAAAGATGTACATATCCAAATGTCAATCCTCTAGCATCATCTCAAACTTAAACTAAAAGAAAATGTTGGAACTTTAATTTAAAACACCGCTCAAAAAGCTTGGGAAAAGTCAGGTCCAAACCACATTATCACAGCTTCTCATTTCTTTCTTTCCACCCCACCCCCACCCCCACCTTCCCGCACCTTGATTCCTCCCTCCACATATGCACTCTGTTCAGTGGTTGGTTCTGTGCCCGGGCATTGTGCGTGCCAAGGTCTAGCCCTTGACTGTGATGAAGCCAGTTTACGAGCTGTCCCGTCGGTGTCTGCCAACGTGACTGTGATGTAAGTAGAGGAGGAGGGCTCGTCCTTATCCTCCGAAATCATAGTACTCGTGAAATCATATCAAAGATCAGGTTGTTAAGAATGCATTTTTGTCAAAGATGATGTCATTGTTCCTAGATCAGTTAAAATGGTTTCTCATAGTTGTTTGCATTTATTGAACGCTGGGCCTTCCACCTTCAACTATTCCATAGATTAATTTATGCAATCCCATGTAAGAATTGTAATTAATGTTACCATATTTTATCTGAACAAAAGATAAAACAATATTGAATTAAACAATAACATAGTTTTTCTTAACTTTTTTGAAAACTTTTACAATTTATTGGACATAAGTTTTAATATAGTATGATGTGCAAATAAAGAAAAACTGGATGAAATATTTCCAGAACGTTGCATTTAAATTAACTTTTGAATCACATTTTGAGTTGAAGATTTTGATGATTTCCTAGTAGTTCAAACTTATGTATGAAAATAAAGTATTCCTATAATAAATAGTTGTTGATTTCTAGTACTTGTGGTTCTTAGTTTTCAGTAGTACAAATTTGGACTCACCCTGATTTTAATAGCATAAACACATACATTTCACAAAACTGTTAAAAAGTGATCAACAAAGATGACTATTTTAATCTGATATGTTTAATCTGATTTTTTTTAATCCAGATGTTTTAGTGCTTTATGACTCTTGGGTATATAAAGACAAACAAACATCGCATTTACAAATGTCAGTATGTCTTATCTTTTTCAAAGGAGGTGTAGGGTAAGAAGGAAGAGTGAAACAAATAAAAAAGGAGGAAGGATAAATGACTGGTACAACTGAAATGCTTGACATAAAAGAGATGGAAAAACAAGAGTGCAGAACTACAGAGAGTGTATCATCAAAGTCAGAGTCCAGGGAGGTTCCTGCAAACCTGCACTGAGACCCTGGAGAGAGTAAGCCACAAACCTTGGTCTGTCACATCCCACCTGAGCTAAAGAAAATGGAAGCTCTCTAGTTCTCTGTCTTCTCCATCGTCACCTCTTCATAGAATCATTAGTCCTAGTAGGAGAAAAAAATACTGATCTCTCAAAGATACTAAGGTCCTATGGAAAGGTTACATGATTTAAGCTGTAACAGGAGCTGAGTGTGGAGGTGCACACCTAAAATCCAGCACTGTGGCAGGAAGATCACTGAACATTTGAGGCCAGCCTGGGCTGCATCCAGTAGTGAGTTCAAGGCCAGTCTGAACTACATAATAAGACCCTTCCTCTCCCTTCAAAAAAATAATTGGAAACACTGAATATGTGAATTTATAATAATTTCATTCTATTTCCAGAAAAAAAGAATCACCCCCACTGCTTATATCAAATATAGAGATACAAGTCAAGGAATACCCTGATGCTTCCAATCACTGTTCATTTTCCCACAATACCATTCCCAATTCAGTTACCCTTTGCAAAAGAGAAACACAGTGGGAGAAAGTTGGAGGCTGCAGTGGAAAAGGCAGTGACCACCCAGGAAGATCATGCCCACCCAAATGGTGAATTATTTAGTTGAATTAATTCCCATTCAAGTTTTTAAAAATGTGTGTTTATCCCAGTACACACATATATGACATAAATGACACAGACCACAGAGACTCAAACATGGACATGGACATAGGAGTATGCAGGCCTTTGGCCCTCCACTGTTCAGTCCTAGGTAAGCTGATACATGCTTGGAAACCCAGCTGCTTGGGAAGCTGAAGCAGGAGGATGGCAAGTTTGAGCCCAGCATAGGAAACTGAGTGAAACAGTGTCTCAAAATAAAAATTTTAAAAGGTTGGGGTTACATCTGAGTGGTAGCATGCTTGCCTACCTCATGTGAGGCCTGAAGTTCAATCCCCAGCTCTTCAAACAAACAAAGTGTCTGAGACCAGATTCTTGCAAATGATTATCTACAAGAAAGCAAGAAGAAGGAAGGGTCCAAGGTGACTCCAAGGCTTCCTTGTTGTGTAACAAATGGATCCAATAATGAGGACCTTTGTGACAGTACAGGGGGACATTAGGATTCTGATGTTAGCTTCTTTTTTCATCTTGAGATTGCCAAGGAACTCAGTGGAAACTTCCAGCAGGTATTTGGAGGTGTAGGCATAAGGCTAAAATGCTTTTGTCTACAACATTCTACTTATTCTTTGTTAAAAGATATCATTTGCAGGCTGTCTGGTAAGCTTGGTGACAGAGCCCTTGCCATGGGCAAGGTCCTGGCTTTATTCATTAATACTGCAAAAAAAAAAAAAAAATGTTCTTCTATGCTTTGGATTGAACTACTTGCTTCTGGTTGTCCTTTTGTGCTTTTGTCTGCAGAGCTGCTTCATACCTTATCCCAGTCTGCTTGTTCAATTCCATAGGGAAAAAGGACTCTAGGCTTTGAATCAAACACATTTAAAAAGCTAAATATCACATTTTATCATGGAGCTTTGTCAATTTTGAGTTGGAACTATCATAATGAAATGTCAGAATGGACTAAATCATATATAAGTAAAGTATCAAAGAAGCTAATGATCCAAGGTTTGGTTATTGAATTTAGTGAAACTTCACATAAATGCTAAAGAATGAAACAGCCAAGCAGAGAGACAGGAATATTTACGCATTATTCTAACTCACTAAACATGAGCTTTGTCTAACTTGAATATCCAAGAATTTAATACTAAAACTATGAGATCCAATAGTAAGGATTTGCTTTACTAAAATCAGGGCGATCTCTGATAGGGGTTATACAACGAGGCGGTTTCCCTATCACACTGTACATACCGGATGGTGGGAACAGTCAAACTAGGAATATCAAATTTTAAAAATGCAAGAATCTGTTATATTTTAGAAGTATTTTGGTTTATCCTAATCAATAAAAATAATAAACAGCTCTCTCCATTTCAACGGGATATTACGAAAATGTAAATACTATTTGTAAAAATATGTGGATAGCATAAAAAGAAGTAGCCAATAAACCTTACGTGTTCTGTATTGATAAAGTTCCAGCTTTCTAGGGAGCATTATGTGTGAGTCCCCAAGCAAATCTCCCTTCCCATTACTCCCTCCCCACCATGAGACGCAGTTAGCAGCCAAAGCTTGTGCTCCTCCTTGGAACTTCTTTTGAGTCTTTTATTAGCATAATAAATATGACTCCTTGCAAAGTCATTGGGATTCTACCCATGCATCACAAGGGAAAACACGGTAATCTCCGTGGTTTTTCTGTGTACCTTCCAAACTTTCTAACAGGGTACTAATCTGTAAATAAATATAATAAATAGGAAGAAACCCAGTTTGTTGAATTTATTTTTAATGTTTAGTTTTGTTTTAAATTTTATCTTTACACGTTTGCAATTCATGCAGCTTACAAGTGTCCTGCAGCCTCCACAGCCTGCTTCTTTCTTTAATCTCCTTCCTTCCCTTCCCTCCCTCCCCTTCCAATTAATGCCATAGCATAAGCTAAGATTAATCATATCAGTGAGAATGAATTTTAATTCCTGGGTTTCCATTCTGAAGAAAAGTCCTTATCTGTAGATTCACATCACTGTCCTTCAGATAGAGTGTGAGGCTCTCACAAGCATGGATATTGTTTTTTCTTCCAAAGCACAAACTGCAGATTGCATATGTTTTTGAGGAAACGAATAAACACATTTTCAATAACCCACAAGATTTCATCTAGAGTCTTAAACCACACCTAAATGTTTCATGGTTTATTCTTATACAAGCAAACCTTTAAACAGGACAAAAGTGTAATCTGGGATGTAAGCTGAGTAAGAATTATTAGTAGAAAGGGATTGTCAGCAGAGAGTGACTTCAAGAGACAATTGAACCTTTCTGTGTATGTGATTTAAAAAGCCATCAAGTAAATGATATGCAAAGTTTAGAACAGTGTTTTTAACCATTTTTATTGTGCTTCCAGCCTAGGGGCCTTTTTAGATATGTTTTGCTGTATTTGTTCTCTTGTCAAATTTTGATACTTAAGTATACAGTGCATGCCTTATGTATATCTTGCTTATCTATTAAAATGTGGAGTTTTTTTTTTTTTTTTTTTTTTCTTCCTAAGAACCATTCTCCACACCCTGTTGAGACAGGATACTCTTTTAGGCTCTAGAAGAGTATTTGTCAAATTACATCCACAGATGTTTTCTGGAGACTCTGAGAAATTATCTGTCTTAGTCTCTTTTCTCATTGCTGAAACAAAATAGCAGACATCCAAAGCTAAAGGAAGAAAAGTTTATTTTGGCTCACAATTTATAGAAGTTTCAGTTCATATTCAGCGAGCTCCAAGGCAGGTGCCATGACAGAGGTTCACTGCAGGCAGAAGACGGCAAACACAGCAAGAAGCAAGCAACAACTAACAAGCAATAATAGCAGCAGGCTCTCCCCTTTCTGTCCCTTATTCCCTATCCAGGCCACACATCCTTAGGCTGGCAGCACTCTCATCCAGGACAGGACACCTTTAATCCTAGCATGGCACTGTGAATCAATCCCAGATCACACTCTAGATCCAGCCACTCCTGAAAAGCTCCACTATGACCACTTGAGGCTTCAGGGTATCATCTAGACACAAACCACTGTTTCTTTAAAAATTGTTTCTTTAAAAAGGGTTTCATATCAAGTTTAAGCAATGCTAATCCCAAATGTATACATCGCTGGTCTATTATTGTATGACGCTGTCCTAACTGGGTTAACCTCCAGACAGCATTACACGTTGGACATTTGTCAGTATCTACTTCACCACAGGTTATATTAACAACACCACATTATTAGAGAACTCATTTAAATCTTTTCACAGTTAAAGAAATTTACCTGGAAAAGTTATGGGTAGTTCGTGCAAGGTACACAAGCTACATTGCTCTTGGATTTTTATTTGCTAAGTTATAATGCTTTTCTTAGGAAAATATTAAAAGTCTGGGGCCTTTCCAAGCACAATTAAGAGGACCTGATCTATGTCAAAGTGTTTATTAAATCATGGTACACAGGAAAATCTTTCCACACAACTTACTAGAAACCAAAATGAGATCATGCAGTTAACAAAAACTGTTCAACTATTGGCATTGATTGATGGTTTCTTTCATAATTAACTACAAGGTGGTACAATGCAGGCAATGGAATATTTAAAAACTAAGGCTTTGAGTGCATTTTAAACAAAAAAAAGTGGTCTTTTCTTGTTACTCAGGACTCACATGCCTTCTAAAGCTTATTAAATAAAAAGAGAAAAAATAATTTAAAATCAAGTTCCTCTATATTTTATTTTTAAATTCTTTTGTCAGAATTACAATGGTGTAAACTAAGCTTAAGAATGTGAATAGATTCAATAATACAAAATTGGCAGATCTAATTCTAATAGTGCTGTGAATACAGGTGGTATTGTGAAGTAAATCGTTTGCTGAAAGCTAGTGCTAAAGTAACTACAGTTTGTAATTACCCATGTTGTAATTTGAAGAAAGTGGAAAAAGCCTTTCAGAACCAAACTTGCCCTCCCTTTCAGGTCACTTCAGTGGAACTTCATAAGAAAACTCCCTCCCAACGTCTTCAAGAAGTACCATGATCTTAAGAAGCTGTAAGAAAAACTTTAATTCCTGGCATTTAATTAATGAGTATTCTGGGATGTATCTGTTTCTTCCCTCTTTTTTAGAGACCTATGGTATCACTGCTTGAAACCAAATTCCTTTTCAAGTGATTATTTAGCTGTGACATAAAACAGCTAGCATCTGACTTCCGGGGAACATTTTTTTACCTGAGTAGTTCTAGAAGGCATTCTAGAAAGCTCTCAGGTGCAAATCCCCAAAGAAACTACAGCACATGTGCTGTGGATCCTCTGCCGCGTGGCTCCCAAACCCCAGGCCACAGTGGCCATTAGGATTGCTCTACACAGCAGCGGGTGAGTGGGTGAGTGGTAGATGAGCAGTCAAGTCGCCTCAGTATTTGCAGTGTCTCCCAGTGGCTGGAATTACGGCTGTGCTCCACTTCCTGTCAACAGATTCAATCAGGTTAGATTTTCGCTGGAACTTGAACCCCACTGTCAACTACAAATGCCACGGATCTAGTTTACTTGCTCCTGGGAATCATCTAAAAACCGTCCTGTCCACCAACCCATGGAAAAAATGTCTTCCAGGAAACCAGTCCCTGGTGCCAAAAAAATTTGCAGAGAACTGTTCATCACACTTCCCAAAGCAGACATATGGATGCGGGAGCTTTTCACTCCCCAGCATTGTGGCATGGGTACCCTCAGTGTCCCTCTTAGGGAAAGATTCATTGATATTTTACCATATTCACCGTCAAGATTAGTGAAGTCTTTCCCTCCATGTGTTTAAGATTTAACCTCTCCCTACAGCAGCAGGTTGTCGTGGTTTGTAACCTCTGAGCCTGGTTTTGATGAGACTTGATTCCATTTTCCCACTTGCCGGCGAGGATAAGTTTTATCTTGGCCTCAGGAGGTATCTGACATGCTTAGGGTCATGTGACTCTTGAAAACCACAGAGGCAAGATGATATTTATCTGCGAGTTAGGTCAGCTTGTGACTATATCATCTTGTCCTACTTGAATTACTAGATTTGGACGCCCTAGGGCTAAGTCACATTATTAGGAAGTATCTCAGATTTCCTTGTTTCAGTCTTTACATGTATTGGTTTTATAGTTTAATACTAGAGAAGCTGGTATATTAACCTACATGTGCATATTTTTAAGCTAGCACATGGAAACAGAGCGTGAAATGTCCTAAATAAATCCAGATAATCTGCAAAAAAATATATTTTGGATGTAAAAATTAAGTCTCACAAAAATTGTTCTTCAGAACTCAGTCTGAACATGTGTCAATCAATAGAGATCTTCTAAAAATCATGCATGCTGCAGAAACTCCAGGAGGGTACTTCCTTTTTTTGTTTTTGGATTTTTAGAGTGAAAAGAATTTTTCTAATCTGTAGCACCACCTTATGTCCATATGCTTAAAAGGAGTTAGACTACAAATCTAAATATCAAAACTCAAGTTCATATAACACAGTGGCCTAGCAATTTTTTCATACCAAACATTGAATAAATTCTTGAATAGCCAATTTGTTCCAAGACATAAAATGATCAAAATAAGCCTAATAAGAAAAAGGATTCTAATCTCTAGGCAATGCAGTCCATTGCTTAGTTAATCCTTATAAAACTTAGCAAGTAAATATATTGTTTTATATGTATTAGTGAGAAAGATGCATTACTCACTATATGACTGGGTCCACGCATGTCATGGGAAATTTTCAGGTTCATGATAATTTTTATAACATTTTACAACATTTTATAACATTTTATAACATTTTACAACAATTTTTATAACATTTTATAACATTTACAACTTCTTGCATGCTGAGTAATTGGGATTCTCTTTTAGTCAAAATTTTGAATTAACTTAAAGCTCATTCATACTGACTTTTCCTCACTGTTCCTAAGACTTAGGAGTTATGTATAAATTCAAGACAAGAAGGCAGATTTTACACTTTCACTTAGGTCAGGGACACATCACAATGTCAAGCTTTATATGTGGTTAAATTACTTATATTCTGATACCTTTCTCCTGTGACTTCCAGTTAACTCTGGTCAAAATTTCTTACAGTTACCTCTGTAAGCTTGCATTTTTAGCTTGACATTCAATTCTAATTTATACTTTTCCAGTCTTGATTTTTTTTAAATTTATATTTCTCTCTTTCCATAAAGATCATTCCTTCTAAAGTAGCCTTAGGCACTTGGTGGAAGAAGGCTTGAGGTGCCATATTACTACAATTTAGATTTGTTTACTTGGAAAATTCATGATGAACATGGAATATGATTGATTACATTAAAAATTTCATGTAATTATGATTTTACCGGCACTATATCAAGCACTTCAAAGTTGAATAATTATAACTGGAAAATTAAAAGTGTGATTTTTAGGCTTGTCTGATTAGTGAGCACTTTACTGGGGATTAAAGTTTTACTCTAATAAAACTCAAACAGTATGTTTTTTACTATTATTGGTGCACAAGATAACTAGAATTTCCAAGTAAAAGCTAGCCTATGCATCCATGAATTGATTGGCAAAGTGAATGGCTTCACTAAATTGTTTCATTATGTTTAATCTTGCAACTTTGGTGAAGTACACTTAATATAAAATATACCTACTTAACCATTTCAGAGAGTCTGTTCCAAAGCATTAGGAATGTTCACTTTGTGGAACTAACATTGCCCCATCCATACACAGTGCTCTTTCATCCAGCAAAGTTTTCCTTTTGAATAATCATTTTCACAGGTACCTGCAAAACAACCAGATTCGAGCTGTATCCACCTACGCTTTCAGAGGACTGTACAACCTTAATAAACTGTGAGTACCAGTGTTGATGCATGTGCCCATACCAGGAAGCACTGTCAGCCTGGTCCTTCTGGTCCAGTCCAGCTCTCTACAGTGCAAGGAGGGGAGAAGAGCGGGGCAAAGACAAGGGTATATCAGGCTAAGACATGGGACTGGGAACAGGCGGGCTTCCGTGTGAGTCCAGACTGGATCACTCACTAGGTGAAAGACCCTGAGCATTTTGTTTTCTTTTCTGAGCATTAGCACTCTCTACTGCAGGATAGCTCTCTCAGGGTTACTCTAGAGGGAAAATGGGAAAATCTGCAGGAAGCTCTCAGGAGTAAGAACTCAGCTATGGCCAGGGCAATGATGGTCAAATGAACTTAGTCAAAGTAAGGGAGCCTGGTGATATTTATAGAGAAGAAGAAAAAATGAAGACTCTCCCAGTTGCTCAGGGCTTTTCTTTATTCATTTCTGGGTTTCAGTGCTGGGCATGAACCCAGGCTCTCACATATGCTAAGCACATGCTCTTCCCCTATTCTGTGCCACCAATATTCATTATTCCTTCTCCATTGTATATCAGGGTTCTAGAATTACATAATATCCTATGAAAGAAAAGGCTTTTTACTGTGATAACATACACATATGATAAAATTCCACTATAACAACTGTAAATGCAGAGTTTAGTAGAATTAAGGAGACGGACTGTTGGGGATCTGGCCAAGATCTCCAGTCTCCCAAAGAAGTATACAATGAAGGCTTAAATAAATGAGACAAGTGGTATGATTTTAGGGCTCCAGGAGGATCAAGATGCTCTGCAGAGTTTGAGGCACTGGGGGCTAAGACAAGGGATATCTCTGGGTGGCCCATATTTATTTAGTTTCCAAACAAGGAAGGGGTTAGAGTGGAAAGTACCAGAAACTGAACAGACCTTGGGAGTAGTTCAAGGACTTTTACAAGTAACAGATTATGCTTAATTTAGGAAAACTATCCTAAGTTAATTTAGGAGGGTATCTTAGGAGAAGATCTCCATGTTACATTTCACTACAGGAGTGAAATGCCTACAGCTACAGTTTTTGTTTAGTTAACTGGAGTTGGGGCCAGGTGTCCTCAGCTGTGGCCTTATCTTGCCCTTTGAGGTGTCTCTTTGCTCTTGGGTCATCCATGTTCCAGCCATGCTACAGCCCTGCATGTGTGTTCCATTTCCAGCTTCAATGGCTCCTAACAGTGGACATTGTTATGTGACCCTCACCATCATCTTCCTCCAGAACTTTCTCAATTTCCTCAGTAGAAGCCCCATTCCTGCTAAACAATAATTGACCATTCCCCTTCCCTCTGGACCCTGGAGTCCACCATCCTCCTTTCAGTTCCTACCAATGGATAACTCTAAGTGATCCATGTAAATAGAATCACACAATATTTTCCCACTTGAGTCTGGCTAATTTCACAAAGCACAATGTCATCACTGTTTGACCTGATGTGGTACATGTGGGAACCTTCCCTTTAGTAAGGCTGACTAATATTCCCCTGGGTGTGTATACCACATCTGTTTCCCCATCTGTATCTGGCTATAGTGAGTAATGCTGCCATGGTCATAGGAGAACACACATTTGTTTGAGTTCTTGCTTTCAGTTCCTCCGGATAAAGGCCCAGAAAGGTGATTGCCATATCACACAGCAGTTCTACACATGATTTTATGAGGATGTACCACTGTTTCCCCATCACAGCTGAACTATTCTGCTTTTCCATGAACAAGACCAAGATTCTCCACATTCTCACTTATTATTTTCTGATTTAGGCTTTTATTTGTTTTTAAGTAATTATCCTAATGGATATGAAGTGGTATTGCCTTGTGCTTAAGGGCAAATTTTCAAAACTGGACTTTCTCAGAGTTCCATTTCATTGAGTTCTACTAAACAGTCTCCTGAAAGAAGTAACTAGAAGGAAATGTAATCAAAAATTACATAGATAAGTCACTTCCTGCCTTGCCATTTCTGACCCTTTGTTATTCTTACTCCACTGTCTAATATAAAACCTCTTCCAAAAACTCACTCCTTCAAATTTTCAGTTTCTAGTATCATAAATTATTTCCCTGCCTGTGCATTCTTTGTTGTGTCTTTGTGTGAATCCAGTGTTTTATCTAAGAAGAAACTAAATTCTCTCTTCTCGTGTTTTCCAACTCTGGGGAGAGGCTTGGTGGTCCCTGCACCTGGAAAAGCAGGTGCTTAGAGCTCTTCACTGTCAGAGCAGTGTTCATGAAGCACTTCCTCTGCGTCCTGTGCATTTCACATCCCATTCTGTCTTCCCTCTACATTTAGGATTCCACAAAGATGATATGGTCTGCACAAGGCCATCATGTTAGTCAGCTTTCTATCACTACAACAACACATCTGAGAAAATTAATTCACACAGAGAAAAGGTGGCTCTTCCATCACGGTTTTAGAATTTTCAGGTCATGATCCTTTGGCCCTGTTGGCAAATGCAGGCTGGCAGGAAGCATGTGTTAGAGCAAAGCCACTCATCTCGAGGTCAGGAAGCAAAAAATAGAAACAGGAAGAAACTGAGGTCTCACAGTCTCCCTCAAGGGCAGCACTGCCAGTGACTGAGGGCCCTCCCTCCCTTGGGGACCTCCTTTTGGAAGGTCTACAGCACATCTCAGCCACCCTGGAAACAGAACCTTTGCCCCAAACCAGTTAGGGCTCATTTATCCAAACCAACACAGCCATGGAGTAGCAACTGAAAAACAATTCTATAAACAAATCAGTAAATCAAAGAAAACACAGATTGACTAATTGCATCATTAATTATAGGGCAAGTAAAAGCTAGAGGTGATACAGGTTTTAAGACAGGCTTTCACAAGGGAACTCCTAAAGCCTCCAAGGCAGAGAAAGTGGCATGATGGGAGTGGCATATAAGAAAACTTAAAATGAATGGTTATTTTTAATTTCTCTATTGTAAACTTCAAAAAGGTAAAAAAAAAAAAAAAACTTATGGTACTATTTCTGCTTTTCCAGGTATCTCAGTCATAACAGAATAAACTTCCTGAAGCCAGGTGTTTTTGAAGATCTCCGCAGACTCGAATGGCTGTATGTGGAATTCTGTGGCATTTTACAGTATTAGTTTTTACATTCTAAAAATATATGAGTGAATCTATTTTTTTCTTCTTGCTGGCAGGATAATTGAAGATAATCACCTCAGTCGAATTTCCCCACTAACGTTTTATGGCCTAAATTCTCTTATTCTCTTGTAAGTACTAAATTAAACTGCACATTAAATCTGGAACTATGAAAACTCCTGAAAGGATTTGTAAACTAAAAACCATCTCTCCATCATTTTTCCTAAGGCTATTTACAATCCTAACATTTTCTAACATTTTCTGCCTTCTAGAAAGTCAGCCCATCGAAACTGTAGTCTCACTGGGCATTTAATTGAAAAAGCCCTAAAGGACACATTACTGTTATATGTAATTGATAAAGGAAATTATTGTTATTGTCATTGGTAAAGAAAATAATCCTGTAAAGTCACCTACTTTCCACAGCCAACTGCTGACGGGCTCAGTATTTCTTCCTCGTGGCAACCACGCTGTAGACATTGTACTACCAGTCACCTGCATACCATAGCACACACAGAGAGAGCCTTGCAAAGCGAAGACTCTCACTTAGCAGCTTGGCTTGGTTTCATAAGAAGACTGACAGTAGTGTGTTTTACATAGGATGAGAAAAGAACCAGAACAATGTGACCCTGGGATTTCTTCTCTTTCTCAGGGTACTGATGAACAATGTCCTCACCCATCTGCCCGATAAACCTTTCTGTCAGCACATGCCAAGACTCCAGTGGCTGTAAGTTACTGTATATAAACACCTTTTAAGAAGTCAGATAAATGTTCTGGTTTTGCCTAATTCATTTCGGATAGCAGGGCTTTTTATGTAACAGGTTGTTAGTTTTATGTCACATTGTGTTTTAGCACTGGGGGTCGAACACAGGGCCTTCACACTGAGCCACAGCCCCAGACATTTTGGTTTGTTTGTTTTATTTTGAGGAAAGGGCTCACTAATTTGCCAAGTGACCCAGGCTGGACTCTAGCTTGCAGTCCCCCTGCCTGAACCTCCCAGGATTATAGATTATAGGGTTATAGCATAGGGATTATAGATGTGTGCCCAGTGCTTGGCTTCATAGCAGATTTCTTCAAGTTAATGTATTTTATTTCCATATGAAACTAAATTCTCCAAACTCTCACCAAAATAAAATATCTCAAAAACACTTTGGAGTGAGGAAGAAGGAAAAAAGAAAAGAGGTGCCACCAGATCTAGAAGACATTTCTCCTTTGCCCTTGCCAATTAAATTGGTAGAGAAGGACTAAGACATTTCAGTTCCATTCCTAGATTCTGAACAATGAAAATGAGATAATTAGTACTTTCTCTGAAGAGCATCTATACAGTCCCTGGAAGTTTTTTTAAAAGCTTTTCTTGTCATACAAATTACCATTCTACAATTCAGAATCCATCTAACTAGTAAAATTTACCTTTAGAATATAGGCAAAAACTAAAGGAGAAATAATCAAAATGACCATTAAAAGTTCAATCATTAAGCCACATATCACTGTCACATGAAAACTCACTCTGCCTCTTGTTTTATCAGAAATCTTCAGGGGTTTGTGATTTGCTTTCTACATTCACAGCAGACTAGAACTGCCCAATGAAGAAGAGGAGAAAGAGTCGGCAACACTGATGTAGGCAGGAAGCAGCACTATTGATGATAAAGCAGAAGTCAGAAGCGCCACGGAAAGCAAAGCTAATGACAACATAGGTTAATGTGGGATTCAGCAGGGAAAACACAAACATCTCAATAACCACTACTAATCCAGAAACATCATGGTCTGACAGCTTTGTACTGTATCAAACATTAATAAAAGCTAAAACCATAAGTAAAATGGCAAATTAACTCAGTATCTTTCATTGTAACTGAATTTTGGTTCAAAGGATTATATTAAGAGCTACTGCTTGTTAAGTAATGCCAGGTTACTCACTGAGCACAACTAACCAATATTTACATAAATAGCATACATTAGCAATTAAAATGTATATATTGAGTCCAAGAGCAATAGCTAGGGGTATTATGAAATACTTAATAAAACTTTTACCTTTTTTTCCCCTATTACTGGGTATTGCACCCAAAACCTTCCCACTGAGCTTTATCTCAGCCCTTTATTCATTTCCTATTTTGAGACACAGGCTCATTTAGTTGCTGAATTTCTCAGGTGAGGTTCAAATTTGTGCTTCTGCCTCTCAGGGTGTTGGAATTAGGAGCATGTACATCAAATAAGACTTCCTTTTACTGGTCAAAAATAGCAAAATATATAATATATATCACATAAAATGATTAATATTTATTACTAGATGGATTTTAAAAATATAATGTCATTGGGCTGGGGATTTAGCTCAGCAGCATAAGCACATACCTGGCAAACATGAGGCTGTGAGTTCGATCCCCAGTACAAAAAAAAAAAAGATGTCACTATCTGTAAGTTTTTACTATCAAAATTAAGTGACTTCACATATTCTTGATAATATTCCACTTTTAATGCTAGTAGTAGCATTTTGCTTTATACATATTCTTATCTTTAAAGCAATTGCAGTATCACTGCCTAACACTTTAACTTTTATTTAGTAAACACCAAGCTAGAAAATCTCACAGATTTGTCAACCAAAAAAGGTTTTTAACTATGATTTCAAGGAAAATACACATAAATAACAAGTACAAATTATAATAATTGAGATTACAAGATACATGATAGAAAATAGATTAAAATCTTCAATATGGTTCTTTAAAAGCAATAAAAATTTGAAACACAACAAAAGTTGGAACATTCAAAAAGCAAAAATTTGAGTAATAAATATGCAGGTGAACATAGGACAGTAGCCAAAGATGAATTAAAAGTCATAGAACTGTAAAACCTCATAGCGAGGAATCAAGAGATAACATTTAAAACCAACAAAAACCATGTATCAATACATAAATGATAGGCAGTAGGCAGATATTTAGATAGATAAATAAAAAATTTATTTGTTTTTAACTTTTACTTCTACTGATACATGTTTAAAGTGTATAATGATTACATCCATCATGAGGAATTGGTACACATACATGATACCTTTTCTGGTGCTGAGAAACTAACCCACAGGCTTATCCGTGCTAAGCAACCATTCTACTAGTATATGTGCTACTGGTATATGTAAGTTGGTGGCAAGGTAAATTAGTGAGCCTTGTGGCAAATAGCATGAATTTTTGTCAAAAAACTAAAAGCAAAGTTCCCTATGTTCCAGGAATTCTGTTTCGGAACACATATCCAAGGGCAATAAAAGCTGGATGTCAGGAAGATATCTTCATTCTCATATTCACTGCCACACTACTCACAACAGCCAAGAAATGGAACCTAAGTGTCCCTCACCTAACGAGCTGGTAAAGGAAACATGGCATACATTTACAGTGTGATTCTCCTCAGCCATACACAAGGAAATCTTGCCATTTGCAACAACATGGATGAACCCAGAGGATGCTGGACTGTGTGAAATAAACTGGATACAGAAACACATGTTCTAAATGACCTGAGTTACTTCCAGAATCCAAAACACTCACACTCATGAATACAAGGAGTGGATTGAGAGTTGTCAGGAGCTGGGGTAAGGGATTGGCTTTGAGATAGAGAAATGCTCATAAAAGGATTCAAGAGCTGGGGTTAGGCAGAAAGAATAAATTCAGCATATTTGCTGGACACTGTGGTGCTTCTAGTTGATAACCACATCCTGCATACTTGAAAATTGCTAAGAGAATAGATTTTATATGTTCCCACCCCGAAACATAAGTAAGTGGAGTAATGGAGATGCTACCTGGATTTATCCATTCTACCACATGAGCAATGTTGTATACTTTAAATGACTTCATATAGCAAAGTCTTAAAATATACCTTGAGAATGCAAATAAAAAACACAAGCATCATATCTATCTACATAGGTGAAATCCTGGCCAACTTGCTTTGAACACAAATGAAGACACTCACGTTAGTCAGCTTTCTGTCATGGTAACAAAACACCTGATAGAACTGTCTTATAGAGAGAAAGGGTGCCTTGGCTCACCTTGTCAGAGGATTCAGCCAAGGTCAGTTGGCCCCACTGCAATGCTGAGGCAGCTCAGCATTACAGGAGGACGTGAGGAACAAAACCACCAAATCATTGACGTCACCAGCCAGGGAGCAATGCAGAGGGCAAAGAAGGGATCTGGGTCCTACCATATGCTCCAGTCACAGCCCCAGTGACCTGAGGACCTCCACTAAGCCTCATCTCCTCAAGTCTGTTGTCCTTAGCCTGTGGGCTCTGGAGTGGCATGTCATATCCAAACCACAGCAATGCTTCCCTGCTATCACTGCAATTTCCAATGAGAGATATTATGTTATGGTCATACTTGCACCAAGTGGACTTATATAGCAAAAACAAAAAGACATAAAAGGAAAAGCAGGCACACATAATAAGCATGGAGATAGTAATCCACCAACCACCTCTCCATCCACGAAGGTCAAATATACCCACACAAAGATATGGAGAAATAAACATAATTAATAAATTAAGTCACACTGGAGAAATCCAACCACAGTTCCTCCTTTTAATACCAGAAAATTTTGATTTAGAAGAGTTGGATGCCTGGCTAAATGACTATATTCTCAGACTTCCCTAATTTCCACAAATCTATATTTGAGTGGAATTTCTGGAAACTTTCCTTAAATATAAAGTAGCTAATCTCTTCTTCTTCCTTATCCAGAAAAAAAAAAAAAAAGAGTATGACGGCTAAAGCTTTAACAAAGGCCACCAAATAGGACTTGAGAATAGGGACTATAAAAGATCTCGAGTTTCTAACAACTTTGCAAAACTACCATACCAGCCCTGGACTGCTTAATACTAATTTTTTCTTTAAAAACAAAAAGACTATGTTTTTGTGCTACTCTGGTCAGCTTTCTTCTGTTTTATGTACTCACAACTAATCCTAATAGATATATTCTTGAAATCAAAGCACACAAACCAAACTTGATAATGTATTTTGGGGTGTAAACACACAAAAACCAAACTCAAGAACAGGAGGGTAGAACAGGATAAGGCCACCTCTCCTCTGACACCAGAAAAGACCAGCTGCCTGGACAGGTAATTTTGGAGACAGGCAGGAAAGTGACAGGCTTTCCTCCTGCATTATCTGAATGTCTCCCAGAAAGCAGAAACCACCATGTCTAAATCAGAAGAAGGGAGAGAAGCAGAGAGAGGGGAGTGAAGGTTTGCATGTTTCAAAATGACATTAGGAGAAGGATAAGAAGCTGAGCGGAACAGCCTGGACTCAATATTAGAAAGTCAAAAAAATTCACACCTCAAAGTTAAAGCAAAATTAAAGTAAGCAAACAATTCAATCAAAAGACTCTGATATGTGCCTCCTACTGACTTTTGCTAATTAGCAGTTTAGTTACTAGTAGATGTTTTTTCCAGCCTTACTAGGAAATAAAGGAGCTGAACAGGAGCGTGTTCTCTGAAGCCTGAGAGAGCATCACCACCTGGTGGTAGGTTTGTGGTAACTGTTACCAATAGCACAGATAAGAGAAGTGACAGTCCCTGTCATGGACGATGCCCTCTACAAGAGACCTAAGCCTTTGCCAAAGAACTAGTGCAGGAAGTAGCAGTACAAGCTCTTAGCTCCCATTTCATAAAATCACAAAAACAATTCTTCAGAAGGATAATCTGGAATCAAGATTCCTTATTCTGCTTCACTATCCCATAGAATACAGAAATGTTGTTGACAAATTATCAAGATATCATCCATCGCCTTTGTCAAATACTTATAGTAATCAGAAATTAATTCTCTAGACACTATAGTTTGCTAGGGAGGCCAGGCTTCAATTTGAAATAGGTTGTGTCTTTCAACTGGAGAATCTAATATTATACTCTGATGAAACACAGGAACTGCTGCATTTTACATCCTGATTCACTCTGCCTCATTGTGTCCTCTCTCTCTCTCTCTCTCTCTCTCTCTCTCTCTCTCTCTCTCTCTCTTTCTCTCTCTGTCCCTCTCTCTCTGCCTCATTATAAAGACACCCTGTTCTCCAGTTAACCTGATTTTTAGATATTTAGATCCCCTTATCCTGGCCTTCCAGACATTCTGCATCTGTTTTTCTTGGTCAGTGTCTGTTTTTAATGTAGTGCCCAAAATAAAACGGACTCTGCCATCGGAATCCATTTCTATCAGGGCTACCCTTGCTTACCTTACTGGGTTCTGTAGATGCAACTGTGCCCTTCAATGCTGGAGTCACCATGTTTCCCGAACAGTGTTCTGCTGCCTGGCTGCTGGCACACTTGGTGGGGACCCACTGAGTGGACTGAAGAGACAGCATTTACATTTGACAGTGCAGTGTGTATCACTAGATCTCAAGGAACACTTTTCCTCTGCTTTCCTGCTTAAGAGAAGGGCTGAGGATGCAGCCCAGAGCAGGAGCCTGCACCTAGAGTATGCACTCCAGTGCTGCAAAAAGTAAAATTAAGTACACAAGTGATTCTTTGGATAAGTTTCAGCTGCAGTCACACAGCGGGGCCTCAAAGGGGTCTCAGTGCAGCTCCAGGGCTTAGGACACCTGCTGCCCTGAACTTTGCAACCATGTAAAAGATAGCAAAGCTGTTCCTGGAGTAAAAGATTATGGAGAATTTCTTTTTGGGAAGTGTTGAGCCTAGGAAGCCAGCAGCTAAGCAGTGTCTTAGTTACTGTAGCAGCTCCTGCAGTGGTGCTAGAACTGCACAGCCTCTAACAAAACGAGGTCCAACACTCAGGGAAAAGCCTGGATAATTCTGAACAAGTGGGTGACATGCCTCTCTGTTAAATGCTATTAAGTTAGGTATTACCACACCTGAGGTCCTTAACTTGACTTCTCATGCTCTTCTTTCTCAGAATAATATGCACGTCCCAATGAACATGGAGTACAGACTGGCTCAAAACATTTTTATTGCTAACAAGAAAACAAATAATAACAGCAATATATATATATACAAATGTATGATCTATGACATACATACATACATATCTATGATATATGATGCATGTACAAATATATGTGTATATGATATATAATTTAAGGTGTTAATTATGAGTGGCTACAAGTTAGTCTCTATGAAGGCAATGTAATGTGAAGAATATATTTTAAGAGAAGGAAAATAATTCTTAATGTATTTCTGTGGTTACAATATAGCTTGGTCATGTTCTGTTTATGTTCCAGGGACTTTGAAGGCAACCGTATCCATAATCTAAGAAATTTGACTTTTATTTCCTGCAGTAATTTGACGGTTTTGTAAGTATTTTTTTTTTTTTTTTTGCTTTTGAAGTAATATTATAGCTCCTTACAAACCCTAATAGACCCTTTGTATGGGCAGAAGGCAGCCTGACACATGCATGGAGCAGAAAGGTGTGACTTCCCTCATACCTCATCATAAGAGTCTCCACTCTCTGCTAACATTCCGGGAACAAAAGTCAAGTTAAAAAGAGACAGAGGTAGTAGATTTATTTAATCAAACTTTTATGTGACAAGGAAGGCCTCAGAAATAAAGATCCAAAGACCCAGGGAAAATTCTTCATGTTTCTGTTTGGGGTCAATGAAAAGTGGACAGTCATGTAGAAATGTGACTGGACACAGGGTCTGACCCAGGGGTAAGGGACTGAGGGCAGACACCCGCAGAAGTGTGTGACTGCCTTCCTCTGGCCGGAGGGCAGAATCCCTGAACGAGGCTCGCAGGACCTTCTAGTGGACAGGGCAGGTAGCTTTCTCTGCAGCTCGCTCCTGCACTGAAGGAGAGGCTGGAGAAATATGTCAAGGTCTTGTGACTGGATTTGAGGAGAGGGCTTGGTTCCTGTGGGCCATGCTGAGGAAGAAAAGAGAGCAAGGGAATAAGAAAGAGGGATTGAAACAGAAACATCTTGCTTCTGCGGCTCCTCCACACCCTTCACTCACAGTCCTGAGCACACAGAGCACCCCGCTTTGGGTGTCATCTCCTGAACCCTCACATGCGCATAGCGAGTATGTCAAAGTTTCGCTTGGACTTCACATTTGCTGAGATCGAAGGACACGAAGGTCAAAGCGAGAGAAACCTTAGCTTGGAACGCACAGCTCATCACAGTGACACCGCGTCCTCTGAGACCTGCTTTGCTCAAACTTCAGTGACATCAGACCACTTTAAGGGAAGCAAGTCTCACAGAAGCCATGCTTGGACCCTGCGTTTGAGAAGCACTAAACCCACATCTTTGTCTGAAAGAATGTTTATCGTTTACAAATCATTGCTGCAAAACTTTTGTCCTTGATAATTGTAGCAAATCAGTTACAACCAAAATTTTAAAAAATAGTGCAAAATGCCCGCCCACACCCCCAAGGACATTGTTAGGGCCACCAGATTGAAACACTGACTGCCAAGGATAACTTCCTCCTCTCCTGGGCTTGTTTGAGTTTTGCCTCTACTGTCCGCAGAAGTAAAGGACAGTGGGGCTTCCTTTGATGTAAAATCCAGCTCTCCCTCCAGTTTATTTTCCCAGAATGCTTGGCAGACCATTGGCTGAAACTCATAAGTAGTGACTGATCAGTCACAATCAATAGGGCATGTTGTGATCAGCATTTCTCAAATGAAGAGAGCTGCATTGGATGAGTAATATCAGAGTACAATGCGGACAATAAATGTACTGTTTTCATAAGTCTTGGGTTGTGTGTATTTTACATTGCAATATAAAATACATTTTTACTGGGGATACAACAGGAAAAGTTTGAAAACTATCACCCTGGAGTACATAGGACTGTGTGCACAGATGCCGGAAGAGCTGCCGCTGAGGGATGCTGTATTCTCTGTAGTTATTCCTGTGTCCTGATGGGTGCCTGGCCCCTGGAAATCTGGATTCTTCCACTGAGTGAACCCAGCCGCCTCCACACACAGGGCACCTTGCAGAAGTCACACAAAGCTCAAAGAAAACCGAATGGTACCCGCACGACAGAGGCTCAGCAGACATCTGAAGACCTTAGACTCTCTTTTCTCCTCTGCCTGTAATTACTTTGAAGGGAGCATCTGCGTGAAGAAATCACTTCTGGGTTCCTGTTGGCAGGTGTTTGTGCCTTTTCTTTCCAGCTGTACTGAGAGACCAAGGTAATGGTTTGAATTCTGAGGAGTTAGATAGTTAAGGATGGTTCAAGGCAGACTTGAAGGCTCCTCACGTGATGCCGAAGAAACTGGAAATCCTTGAGAACTTCCCAGAATTCATCCTCACTGGCTGATACAGTAACAAGGAATCATTGTGGATGCAAGCTGTCAGGGCTGGAGGCGTAGAGAGGGTGTGCTGAGCATGCCTGAGGCCCTGGGCGATCAACACACACACACACACACACACACACACACACACACACACACTCACACTCACACACACCAAGAGCTACAATCTGATAGTAGAGAATCTGTGAGCTGGTCAGGCCTCCATCAGGCAGCACATAATGCCACAGAACACCCATGGGTGATGGTGCTGTGCAGGGCGGGTTGAGCAGATGAGCCTAAAACAGTGCCTCACACAAAACTCCAGGCCAGCTTCCCAAGAGCTAAGGTTTTCCCTCTTTTCATTGCCAAGCTCTTCCCTACTTTCTGTGAAAATTTTGAATTGTTTCATTAATATCCCTACTAAAAAGACTTGGGAAATTTAAGATTAAAATTGCTTTGGCTAACCAATCGTACTGCTTCCCAATATTTTGATCTGGAAATGCTCTTTGTAGTTAATATTTTTCTCTTCTTACTCTGCTAATCTCTTATTAAATGCATACAATAGTTAATTCAAGATGCTAAAATATATTTTTCTCTTTATTTTCAGGGTACTGAGAAAAAACAAAATCAACCAATTGAATGAAAATACTTTTTCACATCTCCAGAAACTAGATGAATTGTGAGTCTGACTAAACATATACTGTTAAAAATTTCTATTGTATTATTTCATATTTGTTGTTCACATATGTGTTTATATTTTTTCTTTTTCTGTTATATTTTTAGCACATGCTTGCCCTGTGCAATATTTACACTTACCATGTGGAGCTGGTACATGTATGGAACGCAGCTTCATTCTTTTTTCATCTCTTTTCCCTCCATTTCTTTTATTTAGTTTAAGTTTATCAGTACAATTTAAGTATACATGATGATAGGAGTCATCATAGGAAATTTGTGCATGATCTCTCTTGGTTTCTCTTCTGCTTTCCCATTCCCCCCTCCCTTCAACCTTTCCTCCCCTCTTTATTCATTTCCAATTTTTCCTTCTTTTCCCATTTTTCTTCTTGCTTCCTTCCTTCCCCCCTTGCTTCCCTAGTTCCCTTCTTCTTGTGAACGGTTTTTCCCTATTTCACAATAGCCATTGTACATTTTGGTTTATTTACACTTTCAGTTTCTTACAGCAGAGAGGTAATGCAATATTCACACATGTATGTCCAATTTATTTCACTTACAATTATGGTGTCAATGTCAATCCATTTACCTAGTAATGTTTCAAATTTATTCTTTTTTCTAGTTAAGAAATGCATAATTATAGTTTATTTTTAAAGGAAAAAATCCGACATCTGTATCAATTCATCAGTTGATGGGCATTTGGGCTGTTTCCAAGATTTAGTTATTATAAACTGTGCTGCTATAAACATGGGTCTGCATGCATTTCTGTGATGTGAGGCTTTTAATTCAAAAATGGGCATCTGAGATGAATACACACTTCTCTGATGAAGAATTACCCACAGCAAATGAGTATTAAAAAAATGATCAATGCCACTGGGCAAATTAAAACAATACTGAGATTCCATTTCACTCCAGAAAAAATGGCTATCATCCAGATAATAATCACTAACAAAACGTGGTAGGACTGTGGGAAAAAGGAACTCTTCACCACTGCTGCTGTGTTTGTAGACTGGTATAACCACTGTGGGATCGGTGTGGAGATTCTTCAAAAAGCTGGAACCAAAGTCCCATTTGACCCAGGTAGTTGCTTTCTTGGTATTTTCCCACATGAATTAAAAGCATCAGCCATATATTCCTTGACCTTCTTCCTATTTGAGAAACATCTATCCCCTTGCTTCCTACTATCTACCTTTTATTTTGCTCTTTACTTATATTTTGAATCTCTCATAGAAGAGAAACCATAAATTATTTAAGCTTGCATGTCTGATTTATGTCACTTAACATTATGTCCTCAGGGTGCATCATTTTCCTAGGATGAGTTGTGTTCTTCTTTGTAGCAGAGTAGTGCTCCATTGTGCACAATTTTTAGAAAATAAGAATATCTTCTTTCAAGGCATTATTTGCATGACACGGGTTATGATGAAATTCAGTTTGCAAAAATAAACATAAAATAAAAATAAAAATAAAAATTTGAGAAAAGGATAATGGAAAGAAATAGCTGTAGGGAAAAAATAAAACCAAGATAAAACGAATAAAAAAATTCATCCTACACTATTATGTTCCAAAAGAGCAGCAAGTTTCCTAGAGGATTAGGACTCAGGTTCATAAAATTAAAAGACATCACTCAGATCCATGAGGAAATTAAACACTCGTGAGGATAATAACCCTACCTATAATAATGGAACAGAGATAAGTTTAAAAAATCATTTTATAATTTCCATTTTGAATACCAAATGTATAATTACAAAGGGCATTAAAATAATCTTATGCTGAACCAAACTCTTTTGTATGAGCACATGAATAAAATAGCTGTGGAGCCATGAATGAAGTGCATACCCTTAAGGTCATCATTCAACCTTTTAGTATCCATTTTCGGGAAAGTAAATGGAGAAGAGAAAATCTATATGTTTTGACAATTGTCTGGGCAGAGCTTCAATTTATTAAAACTTTCCCATGAGGCACAAAGAATGTAACTAGAGTATTATGAGCATAACGCCTGGACACCTCACCTAAGTCCTGAGACAAGTGGAGGGAATACATATGTCATGAGCAAAAAATTTTAGGTAGCAAAATTGCATTTTGTTCCAAAACATCAATAAGTAAGCCATTACCAACCTTTTCTTCCCCTATAATCACTCACAGAATAGTAAGAAAGTCTTATTAAGTAATTAGAAGCAAGACCCTGTTGTAAATGCTGGTACATGGGAGTTCAACTAAATTATAAGCACATGGAAATTTCTCTCGGTAACAGAGATTTGTGTAGGTGATAGAAAAGTATCATCCAAAGGCTCAGAGACTTGAGCAGGCCCAGTGTCCTTCCTCAGTGCGTGCGTTCCTGAGTTCCATCCCCAGCATCAAGGGAAACAACAGCAGCAATCATAAGAGAGTACTTGTGCCAGGTGTGCTGGCACCTATCTGTCATGCCAGCACTCCAGGCACCACAGGAAGGAGGACTCCAAGTCTGGGCCCGCTTGAGCAATTAATCAGCAACTTGCCTCAAAATAATATAAAACTTTTTCAGGGCTGGGTATGTAGCTTCCTCTGAAGGCTCCAGAATTCAATCCCCAGTATCATAGAAAAAGGAACATACACCAAAAGTACTGTCCAGCTGTTAAAATACAAGTTAGCCAAGGAATCATATTTTCCTTGTTTGATTCAGCTGACGTCACCTCTGGAATCTGGAACACAGTTCCTCCAAATCCTCACCTTTGCAGCGGCGGCAGGAACCCGCAGTGAACACGAAATACAAATTGCTTAGTGTTGCATACCCAGTGCTAGTCCACCCTCAGAGGTAAAGAGAAGAACAATAGAGGCCAAGGAGGCTGAACCAAGATGGTAAAGGTTCTACCCAGTGCCTGCCTCACCTGAGTTAAATCCTTGCCTGAAGATAATTCAGATTCACAAGGGCAGAAATATTTCCCACAGCAGCCAGATTCCAATGGGGGGGTCTGCATCTAAACTCCTTTTTTTGAGGGGGCCGTGCCCCTCCAGACTCGGACACACCAAGGATACTCACAGGGCAGTGATCAAATGGGGGTAGGCATCTGGATTCACTCATCATGCAGGGATGAGTACACAGAAAATCCTTGCAAGATGCTTGCTCTTCTTTGTGGATAGGGGAAATTATTAGGCTTTCTCTTTTATCTCTTGATCGCCTTAGGGAGGTCAAGATTACTAAATTATTTTCCTGTGTAGAAGGATCCAAGGCTATTCTCATGAGCTCAGCCTCTGTCAAAGCTGCTGCACTCAGAAATCTTCTTACAACTAAACTGCCAGCTCTGACGGTATGAGGCAGACCCTCCCCACACGACAGATGGCACAGAGTATCCTGCCCGGGAGCAGAGCAGATCCTCTACATTTCAGCTGCAATGGAATTGTGCACTTCAAAAATAATCTTCCATTTAATAAACATAATATAAATAAGCAAAGCAAAAAGTTAAAGCTCCAACCATTATTTAATGTAACACAAAAGGAATGCAAGAAGGATGGGAAGGGAAGAAGGGACAAGCCAGGTATGATCTCAGAACTTGTGAGACTGAGCAGGAGGATCCCCATGAGTTCAAGGCCCACCAGGGCCACCAGGGCTACATAGTGAACTCCAGGTCAGCCTGAACTACACAGTGAGAACCTGCCCCCCCCCAAAAAAGGAAGAAGAGGCACAATATACACATTAATTAGACAAAAGGTTAAATGTCACATGGTCACGTGATTTCTCTTATGTGAGAAGCCAAAGTATAAATAATTCAAAGAGCAAAATAAAAGAGATAAGACAGCGAACAAGAAGATAAACTGGGGATAGCAAGAAGATATGGAGATGGGGGGACAGGACAGAGGGCAGAGGACAGGAGGGAAGGTGAAGGGAAGAAGATGCAGTGTGTCTTTGTACCAAATCCCCACCCACAGCCAATGCCTGCATTGTGTATCATAAATATGTACTAATAAAAGGAGGGTAAGGAAAGAAAATTGTTCTATTAAAACTAAATGCCATCAGTGTTGGCCTCCAAGAGACTAATGAAGTGGTATAAAGAATTCAAATGCTTTCCATTTCACTCCCTTTTTTAACCCCCAGTCCTGGTAGGGCAGAGGATGGTGCTGGGGGGCGGGGACCCCAGTGACACAGGAGACCCTGTTTCCACCCCAGCATCAGAATGCACCTGTAGACTTCCGGTGATCACCGCAGCTCACCAGCAGCACTGCTGAAAAGTTACAGAATGGTTTTCTAACGAACTTCAGAACAACAGAATCAAGCCTTCAGAAATTAAACGGATGTTTTTGCTATTATTTCTGCAGGGATTTAGGAAGCAACAAGATTGAGAATCTTCCACAACATATATTTAAGAATCTGAGGGAGCTGTCGCAATTGTAAGACTGGTATTAATTTTATGCTTCATTTCTTTATTTTTTAAAAAATTGTGGTAAAATTTAACCACTAAAAGTGTGCAGTTGAATAGCATCCAGCATATTCGCAGGGTTGTTCAGCGGCTGTCAGCATCTGCTCCAGAATTCCTCCATTCTATGCAGCTGAAACCCTCACCACTCAGCACTAACTCCCTGTTCTCGCTTCTCCACAACCCCTGGACCCTAATGCTGAGCCTAGGAATCTTGCATAATTGAAACCATTCAACACTTGTCACTCTGGGGCTGGCTTGTTTCATTTAGCATGGTGTCTCCAAAGTTCATTCATGCCACAACCCTGTCAGATACCTTCCTAAGGCTGACGCTGCTCCACGGCACGCACCCACTGCACTCGTCCTCGTTGTGTTTACCCATTTGTCAACAGGGGGACACTTGTGTAGTTTCTACCTTGTGGACATCGTGAATAATGCTTTTATGAGCGTGGATGTATGAACATCTGTTTGAGTTTCTGCTTTTAACTCTGAGCTATTCAGGTGTTTGACTCACAGTAAGGTTATATCCCAGTAAACCCATCACAAACTGAAGCTGTTATAAGTAAAATTTCACCTAATATACTGAACCTGCCAAGCATCACACTGTAGCAATGTGGTAAGAAAGCCTGTTTTCACCCCTGTGCCTTCCCGGCTGACTGGAGCTGCAGCTCTCCACTATGTCACCTCATAGGTTGCTACCCTGGGGAAAAGACCAGAATTCTAATTCCAGTGTATGCCCAAGGCCTGTTGCTGGTGAGCCATCATAAATAGAAATACCCTAAATCAAACCATGCTGAGATACCATCTGCAGACCCCTGGAAGTAGAATTGTTGGGCTGTGTGGCAATTTATTTTTATTCTGTTTACTTCTGATTTCCTGTGGCACTGTACCAGCTTACATTCCCACTAGCAGTGCACATGGGTTCTATCTCTCCACATCCTCCCAGCTCTTGTTATTTGGGGTTTTTTGATAGTGGTCATCCTAATGGGTGTGAAACTGAATCTCCTCATGGTCTTGATCACATTTCTTTAATGATTAGTGTTGTAGAATATCCTCTCAAGGGTTCATTGATAATTTCTATGTCTTCTTGGGAAAAAACCTATTCAAGTCTTTGCCCACTTTGAATTGTTTTTGTTGTTATTGAATTTTAGTTCTTTATATATCTTGAGTATTGAAATCTTTTCAGATTTATGTTTTGCAAATCTTTCCTTCTTTTGCATGTGTTCCATTTGTGCTCTGAAATACACGTCCTTGGGTACAGATGATTTTAATTTTGATACAGTATGGTTTTTGTATTTTTCTTTTGATGTTTTTGTGTCACAGCCAAGAAATCATTACCACATACAATGGAACGGAACTGTTCTTCTGTGTTTCCTTTCCTTCTAGAAGTTTTACAGTTTTATACTTCAGTCTTTGAGTTAATTCTGAGTTAATTTATATATCTGGTATAGGGAAAAGGTCTAACTTCATTCCTTTGTATCTGGATAATCCTTTTTTCCCAACACAACTTCCTTAAAGTACTGTCATTTCTCTATTGAATAATCTTGGCCCCTTGTTGAAAATCATAAATGGATTTATTTCTGGGCTCTGTATTCTGTTGTACCTGTCTCCACCTTTGACTTTGCAAAGTTGAAAACCAGAAACCTTACAGCATACCATGTTGCTAAGCTATGATGTGCCAGGCCAGCACCAGGCTGTTTGATCACTGGAGCTGTGTAGCAAATTCTGAAATCAGAACGCTTTTACTTTTTCCATGATTGGTTTGGCTATTTGGGCTCCACTGGTTTTCCATGTGATTTTCCCTTTCTGGGTTGTATCAGTCTCCTCATGTTCTATCACAGAGTACCACAGACTGGCTCACTTATAAACTACACAAGTTTGTCTCACAGTGCTGGAAGCTGGGAAGTCCAAGATCAAACAGCCACACCTAGCGAGGAGCTTTGTGCTGCATCATAACACAGGGAAGGTGTCGTAAGGCAAGAGGGGCAGGACAGAGGCAGGGAGGTGGGCTTTGCGGATAGCGGTGCTAATCCAAGCCCTTGCGGCCCATCACTCCTAAAGGTCCCGCCTTCCCTATGTTATGGTTCCCCACAATGGGAAATTTCAGTCTGATTCTGTGAGTGGTCATTTAAACCACAGCAGAGGACTCCTTTGATATCTTTCAGCAGTATTTCATGGTTTCCAGCATATGTGTTTTTTACCTTCTTTGTTAAGTACTAATTTAAATCTTCTATTCTTCTAAGTGCTATGGTAAGCGGGATTGGTTTCCATCAGTGGTCATGTATAGAAATACAAGGAATTCTTTGATGGTTTTTATCCAAAAACTTTGCTGGGTTTATTAGTTCTACATTTGTTGTTAAATCTTTAGGGTTTTCTGCCGATAAGACCACAATATTTATGGGAATAACAGAAATAATTTTTCTTCTCTTCTAATTTGGGTGACTTTCTCTTTCATTCATAATTGCTCCAGCTAGAATGACCTACAATGCATGGACAGAAGTGGCAAAACAGCCATCCTGACAGTAAAGGTGTTTTGGTCTTTCATAAAATATGCTAGCGGTGGGGTTTTTATATCGCCTTTATTGTGTGAGGCCACTTCTCCTTACTCCTGGTTTGCTGGTTCTGCTTCCTTTCTTCTACACGACACTTTTCATCATCATTCTTCTGCTTCTTTCCATAACCATGGCTCCGCAGAAGTGCACACACACACACACACACACACACACACACACACACACACACGTGCACACATGCATGCACACCTAATATCTCATCTTCAGTAAATTTCTGAAAAAGATACCTCCTTTTATCTGGTATGGTGGCACACACCTATGATCCCAGTACTCTGGTTAGTTGAGGCAGGAAGATTGCAAGTTTAAGCTCAGCCTGGGCAGTTTAACAACTTAGCAAAACCCTGTCTCAAAAACAAAACAAAATATTTTTAAAAGGTTTGGATGTAGCTCAGTGCAAAGGTTCTGCGGCTAATTGTCAGTATCATTCAAAATCTTAGGAGCAGGTGGACAAGGTGGAAGGAGGGGGAAAATTCTGACATTTTCTCACTTTAAATACAGTTACAAGTTCACTTTTATTTATGCCCCTTTGTCTCCACTAGCGGGGTTGCTAAATCACATCATAGCTGTGTTTTAATTTTTTGATCCACTTCCACACTATTTCTTATGTTCCTGTATTCTGCCAGTTAAACTGTGTCGAAGCATTTTCTTTCCTACACATCCTCACTAGCTCTTGGTATCACTCAGCTTCATCATAGAGCCGTCCTAGCCAGGGAGAGGTGACCTCTCACTGTGGTTTTGACTTGCATTCCTTTGATGATGACTGATATTGACCATTTGTAATATGTCTTTTAGTCATTGGTATGTCTCCTTTTGAGAAATGTCTAGTCAGAACTTTCCCCTGATTTATAATTGGATTCTCTAGGGAAGTTTGAGCTCCTCATGTATGTTGTGTACTAACCCCTTCCCAGATATATGTCAAGTATTTCCTCCCATTCCGTGGCTGTCTTTTCATGCTGTCTTTTGCTTCCTTGTGCAGAACCTTCTTTAGTTTAAGAGTCCCTTTTGCCCATTTTTGTTATTTGTTGCCTATGCTTTGGGGGACATATATCATCCCCCCTACCAATGTCACGAAGCTTTCTCTCTGTGAGCTTTACTCTAGTAGTTTTAGTGACAGGGCTGACACTTAAGTTTTTCACACATTTTGAGTTGTGGTATGCTTTTTAAATACATATTTCAAAGTAACTCAAAGTGAATAAGTCTATTCTTTTTACTGAAGCAATTTTTAAAGATGATCTATTGCTTATTTTAAAAAACAGGAATATTTCCTTCAATCCAATCCAGAAAATTCAAGCAAATCAATTTGATTATCTCATCAAGCTCAAGTCTCTGTAAGTATACATAGATGGGGTAGTTTTGTGACAATATTAGTATTTCAAACCTGCCATCCTGGCACATAGTTATAAATTCACCTACTATGAGGCTGAGCTGAGATCTCATGTTTGAAGCCAGCCTCGGAAATTTAGTGAGACTCTGTCTCCAAAAGTAACTTTTAAAGAAGGGCTGGATGTATAGCTAAGTAGTAAATGCTTGCCTAACACACATGAACCCTGGGTTCAATCACCAGTACTATGACAAAAAGAAAAAAGAGAGAGAAGAAGAAGGAGGAGGAACAGAGACAGAGACAGGGACAGGGAGAGGGGAGGGAAGGGCTATTTCAAAGCAAATAATGTATATTTTTATAATCTTTCAAATCAAAATCTTTATTTTCAAAGCCTGGTTAAGCTTCACAAAAACAAGCAAGACAGGTGTTTTTGATGGACTGTAAATAAATAGCTATTCTTTTCATCCTCCATGTTCTTAAACTAAAAATTAAATATTGATGAGCCATTTTCTGTCTTCCTGTAATTCACCAGGAGCTTACACCGCATTATTCTCATTGACTCTGATAGCTCCTGTCCATACTGACCACTCCTTTGGTTCTAGGAAGTGAGATTTCTTATAGGCATCTGTTTCTCAAGATGAAATATTCTAGATTATAAAAGCCAAGAGCCACTTGAAGACAGAAATTCTAGCAGTCTAAGAATTGTTTTTTAAAAGGCCAAACTTCAGTTCACCTAATTTCAATGTTTTCTCAGTAAAATAGCATTTTATTAGAAACAATTTACTTAAAATTATTAGAGAAACTTCAAAGACATAAGGCCCTCTGTTGCCGTAACATTCTTCAGAGGTAATGCTCATTCATTTACTTTGCAGTTGTGCACTGAGGGGTCTGTGCTTTGCATTGGGCTTTGTACTCTGGTATGCGGAGATAAAAACTCCAATATGGGAGAAGCATCTGCACACTGCACGAGCACAAGGAGAGCTGGGTGGATTTTCCAGTTAGAGTGTTATCTAAAAGCATTTAATAACTGTCCTGCACAGAAATTCATTTTATTATACCACATATTATATGTTTCTTTGATTATTAATTTGGTATTTTAGCAGCCTAGAAGGACTTGAAATTCCGAATATCCAGCAAAAGATGTTTAACCGTCTTGGGAATCTCTCTCACATGTAAGTCGATGTTTTCAGTCTTCACCTTGATTTTCACGTGTGCATTCCTCTGTGCGTAGTGATGACACCGTACCACATGCACCCGACCTGTCACACTTCCTACCCGTGTACTCAGCACGTGCTGAGCACTGCAGCACCGCTAGCCAGGGGGATTGGGTGAGGAGGTGGAGCCCTGGGAGGTGACAGGATGAGGCCAGGGCCTTTATGAATGGAATCCTTGCCCCTACAAGAGACCCGAGAGCAGGTTTGTCACTCAGGCACATGAGGATGGGGGAAGAGGATGGCTGTCATCTATAAACCAAGGGCAGGAGCCTCAGCAGTCACTAAATCTTTGAGCCCCAGGCACTGTGGTAATGAGCTGCAGCCTCCAAACCTGTGAGAAATAAATGTCTGTTGTTTAAGCCATGAGACTGTGCTGTTTTTCTCCCAGCAGCCCAAACAGACTCAGGCTAACTCTTAGGACAGTGACATTAGGCAGACAATTTTTATTTTTCCATCTGCTGGTAGAATTTCATAGACTTTTTGAATAACAGGAAATATTAGTACTGAGAGAACCCATCTTTCTTTTTTTCTTCATGCCAAGCTACATGCCATTCCTCTGTTTTGTTTATTTTTGAGACAAAGTCTCCTAAGTCACCAAGTTGTTCAGGATGGATTGCAACTTTCTGTCCTTCTACTTCAGCCTCCCAGAGTCCCTGCGGGTCCCTGGAGACCATAATGCTAAGTGAAAAAAAAAAAAAAATCAGACACAGGGTAGAGAAGTTTGTTCCCTCAAGGAAAACCTCCATGCTGTCTTGGTGACTGGAAGGGTGGCAGCCCATCCAGAAAACACAGGGCTCTCATCGTGCGATTAACATAAGCAACCCTTCAGCCTAAGACACACATAAAATAAAGCAAAATAGCAGTCAACAATCATCCCACAGGAGCTATGCCACAGTGCATTGATAGACTGAACTCTGACCGCCCACTAAGCTTCTTTAGATAAACTCATCTGCCTTTTACAAATTCACAATTTACTTATATGATCAGACATGTCCTACCCATATTTTCACTACGCTTGCTTGCTACTCTCAATCACATATTCTTTTCAAATGAAATCACGTTTATGAAAATTAAAGTATAAAACTGTAGAATGCCTAGTATTTTACATCTCTCTAAACCTCATGTAAGACATCTCTCCACTGAGAGAAATGCTAAAAATGAAGATTCACGTATGGTGTCACTGAATTAAATTTAAAATTTTCATCTTTTTGCATACCAGCTATTTTAAGAAATTCCAGTACTGTGGCTATGCACCGCACGTTCGCAGCTGCAAACCCAACACCGACGGCCTCTCCTCTCTCGAGAACCTCCTGGCCAGCATCATTCAGAGAGTGTTCGTGTGGGTTGTGTCCGCGGTTACCTGCTTTGGAAACATTTTTGTCATCTGCATGCGACCTTATATCCGGTCTGAGAACAAGCTACATGCCATGTCAATCATGTCTCTCTGCTGTGAGTATTCCTGACTAATAAGGAGCTCTAGTTTTGAAGTATTTCAAAGCATAGCTATTATATCTGCAAGTATGATTTGTTTGGGAAATATGATTGTAATCAAAAGCACCTGTATATTAATGAGTATTTCCCTATAAGAAATAATAAAATTCAGATGATTCATCCACTATCCAAAAATATTCATATAAAACTGATAATACTGTAATACAAGTGTCCAAAAATAAACAAATTAACCTGTATTTTAAATATCTTTATGACAAGTGTGAGAGAGACAAGAGGGAAGAGGGTTAGGGTGTAGGGTGATTTCCACTACCATTGATGGAATCACTGTTGTCTATTGGCTCAGTGAAGTCTTTTACTTTTTATGCAGTTTTAATAAGTAACCTATTAACACTTTCTTTGGCCTCCTTTCTAGAATTTCACAGAAATATGGCATTGCAGGCATTAAACAGATCCATCACATGCACTGCTATAGTCTTTTGCAAGTAACACCCTTCTACAAAATTTTCACTGTTTCCCACATTTTACACATCTCCCTAATCTCACTTGAAGTAAAGGATTCCTATAACTTTTTCTCCTCCTTCTTCACAGTGATCTTCTTTATAACCTCTTGCGGTTGGGAGATGATCACTCTCAATCCCACAGATACAGATAGACAAACAGACAGACAGACACACAGAGAGAGACAGAGAAACCATTGGCTCAGTTGGAATCATGTGACAATCATTATTACATCCAACTGTATTACCAAGCGTCACTCATTTGTCAGGACAACTTTATTAGAAATCTGCTCATTTTCTGGAGCACTCATAGGACAAGTTAACTCTCCATCCAGGATTTTGCTGTATATTGTTTTCACATCTTTTACAAAAAAAGTAGAATTATTTTAGTGATAAAGAAATGTTGTTAGCTGGGAATAATGGCATATTTGGCTGCCTGGGAGACTGAGGTAGGAAAATTTCAAGTTTGAGGCCCATCTGGTCTACACAATGAGACTCTGTCCCAGGCCAATACAGTAAACAAAACAAAACAAAGAAAATAAAATTTTTTGTTTGTGTTTTGTTGTACTGGAGATCATACTCACCACCTCCTGCTTAAGTTTTTTAAATTAAAAAATCCAAGCATCTTACACAGATTAATGAAGCTCTGATGTACTTGTTTCTTCTTGTAGAGCAGGTGTGAGGTACATTTTGTTAAAGCAGCAAGAATCTTCTATCACAAAATGAAACTGAAACCTTTTATGGTCACATTTTTATATCAAGAACCAGATATACTTCTACGTTTGCATGTCAGGTTCACAGATACTGACATCAGCCAGTTATTTTTCTAGTCTCTGAGCTGCTAGAATCTTTTCCACTCATACCTTGAAATATGGAAATAAGAAAGTATTTTCAGGTAGTATTAATTTTTTAAAGGTTTTTGAAATGTAATTGTGAGAGGTTATGTTAAAGAGTAAAGGAAAAATAAGCAAGAGAACCACGGTGTAGATGTTTACAGCCTGGGTCACAAGGCCTAGAATTCAGCTGTAGCCTCATGATGAAGTAAAGCATCAATGTATACGATGTTCTCTGTTTTGAAGGTTAGGGGTGAACCTGGGCCTTGAACCTGTGCTCCACCACTGCGCTCCACCCCCAGCCCTGCTGCTGCTCCTTTATGTGTGTGATTACATGTCCCACCTCCACCTTTGCTCTAAGTCTAACATGTAATTAATTGTTCTTTTCATTACAAGCTATATAAGAAATAGTATTGAGAAAGTGTTTAATACTTAGCGTTGCTACTTATGAAATTTGAGTTAAGTTCAGGTTCCCCCTTGAAAGCTGGAATATAACTTCAGCATGAGAGTTAGAGTCAGATTAGGGATGTAACTCAGTAGTGGAGCAACTGCCTGGCAAGCATAAGGTCAGGGGTTTGATTCGCAGTCCAAAAAGAAAAGAAAACAAAGAATTAGAGTCAGACAAATATGCTTTCAGAAACTTCATATGGAATGTTTGTGCAGTCAAAACATCTCAATCAATTTCTGATAAAAATATTTGCTTAGGTTTTTTCTTTAAAGTAGGTTATACACTGAGACTAATCCAGAGATGGAACAGCCTAGAAACAGACAAAGATGTAAAACTAAAACAAGAGAAGCAGAGGGCATTTCTCCATGGTAGTTTCTGGGTGACAGCCTCAATCTGCTGAGCAGCAAGAATTTCAGTGGAAGAGCTGGGCCAAGCATCCCCATCTGTATCCCTGACTGAATGTTCAGCACAAGTCAGTTTTATAGATTAATTCCACATGTTTCAGTGATAGGTATAGAGTGGAGAATGCTCCTCCAATTTAAGAATCCCATTCCAAAGGAACACTGAGAAAGGATTGTGGAATTCACCAAGAGGGTGCTGAGACTGCTTACCATAAATGGTGATTAGGTCCTCACCATTAAGTGAGAGTTTGTCTTTCATTGTTGTTTTTAATTTACTGTTCTGGGGGTTTAAAGTATAGTACTAAAGATCTCTGGGCCTCACATAGGTCACATATACTTTCCACTGAGCTATATTATACTGCCAGCCCATTAATTCTTAGAAAAATAAAAATCGTTTCTTCCTAAAGTAAAAGAATCTGAGCTTTTCCAGCATTAAAAATATCATTGCTTATCGGTCACTCCATTAGGCCTATTTATTTCTCCAAATGTGTGACATTTTCTGCCCCTGTAGGTGCCGACTGCCTCATGGGGGTGTACTTATTTGTCATCGGAGCCTTGGACCTCAAGTTCCGCGGGGAGTACAACAGGCACGCTCAGCTGTGGACCCGCAGCATGAACTGTCAGCTTATGGGTTCTCTGGCCATCCTGTCCACAGAGGTTTCAGTTCTCCTTTTGACATTTCTGACTTTGGAAAAATATGTCTGCATCGTGTATCCTTTTAGGTGTTTAAGACCTCGGAGAGGCAGGACAATTACAGTACTGACTCTCATCTGGATTGTCGGCTTTCTAGTGGCTTTCATTCCACTCAGCAGTAGGGAAGTTTTCAGAAACTACTATGGGACCAATGGAGTCTGTTTTCCTCTTCATTCAGAAGATACAGAGAGTACTGGGGCCCGGATTTATTCTGTGGCAATTTTTCTTGGTAAGAAACTTTGCATTATAAGCCCTTTCCTTCAAATGCTGAGATAGGATAACTCATAAAATAAAACTCATATCTTGTAGTGTCTACAAACTTTTATTTCAAATATTTTATCCATTTTTTTTCTCACTGAGAATTAGTTGAGTTCTAGCAGAATCCCCAAGGGGCATTTTCCCCTAATCAGTGCTTTATCATATAAATTCCAACCTCATAGATTCAGTAAAACACTGATCTCTTATATTCTTGTGTTGACCCTAAAAATAATAAGCAAAACGTGCTTTGGCTCCCTGATAAAATATGAGCATAATTCATAAAACAATACCAACATAAGGTAATTATTACGTTTTCTAATCCATGTGTGGAACCACACGCATCTTTCACTCAGGAGGATACACACAACTGTTCTAAACCAGCAATGTAAAAATATTCTCAAAATGCAGTACGAGGTAATTAAATTATTTTTAAAAATCACTGATATTAGAAAGCATAAGGCCCAGAGTATTTGGTACTATTCTATAATTTTACTTTAATATTTAATTTTAGTACTAAACATCTCACCCTTTTTTATTATTTCAGTAATACTTCAGCTCAAAAGAATTCACAATGTGCTAGGGATGTAGCTCAGTGATCGAGCACTTGCTTAGCATGCCACAGATCCTGTGTTTCATCCCAAGCATCACCGCAAAAAATAAATAAAATAAAATAATTTAAAAAATCATTTCTGTGCAACTTAAGAATCTTTAGGAAATAAGAAAAATACATATTATGGCCTTTGTATCTTTAACAATAGCACACTAAGGCAATGTTCTATTTATTTTCTTGTTTTGAAAGAATGTCCACAAGCATTGTTAACGTCCCTTCTGTCCTGCACAGGTGTTAACTTAGCAGCATTTGTGGTCATTGTGTTTTCCTACGGGAGCATGTTCTACAGTGTTCATCGGAGCACGGGAACAGCAACTGAAATACGGAATCATGTTAAGAAAGAGATGATCCTTGCCAAGCGATTTTTCTTTATTGTATTTACCGATGCGTTATGCTGGATACCCATTTTTGTACTAAAATTTCTTTCACTGCTTCAGGTAGAAATACCAGGTACAACTTTTGTTTCTTTTTCTAAAGAAATACTCAGCTTGCACACTACTTTTCTAAAAAACTTAATTAAGATTCCTAACAGTAACTAGTTTCAAACATTGTAAGTCCAAGTTATATGGACTTTAGGCTCTGCTCATCAATAAATGTTACTGACAGGAAGTGTTTGGTTCTTTATATTAATGCCTACTAGTAATAGGCAAAATAAATGGTTGTAGCAGTCAGAATGGAGGAAGGCAAAATTATTATCAAAGAAATGCTTCACTTTTATCAGAATGCAAGATGTTTTCCTCTTAAAAAGTATTCAATTTAGAGAACATTATACCAGGGAAAGAGAGATGATAGAAGCAAGCACTGTTATTATTTAAAAACTATGTGTATATACCCAGTAGGGTGGTTAGTGTCTTAAACACCTACCCAGTGTAGTGACACACACCTGTGATCCCAGCCCTCAGAAGACTGAGCAGGACTCTAGGTGGGAGTCCATCTTGAGCTACACACAGACCCCATTTCAAAACAGAAGTGCGACTTCCCCTCACACCGAAAATGAAGTGGCAGCAAGGACATTGAGAAATTGGAACATTTGTGTATTCCTGCTGTGAAGAAAACATAGTGTAGCGGCTGTGGAAAAGAGTGGTGATGATTCCACAAAAAACTAACCAGGGTACAACCCAGCACTTCTACTTCTGAGTGAACAGCCAAAGGATTTGAAAGCAGCAACACAAGTAGATCTCTGTATATCTGTATGCATAGCAGCACTGTTCACAATAATTAGAGATGAAAGCAATATAGTGTCCATACATCAGAAAATGAATATACGGAACATAGTATACGCACACACAATGGATCGTTGTCCAGACGTGTAAGAGTACAATACAACGCATGCTACAATATGGATGAGTCATGGGGACATTATGTTAAATGAAGTATGTCAGACACAGAAGGTCAAAGATTTTATAATTCCTCTCCAACGAAGTTTCTGGGACCAATCAAATTCATAGAACACACAATGATGGTAGGTAGGGGCTGGAGAAGGGGAAAATCACTGTGTAGGAAGATGAAAAGCCCTTAAGATGCATTGATGATGTTTGTATGATACTGTGAGTGTACTTAATACCACTGAACCATACACAAAAATTGTTTAAATGGGGACCTGGGTATGTAGCTACATGGTAGAGTGCTTGCCTAGCACATGCAAACCCACAGGTGCAACCCCCTACACCAAAAAACAAGAAGTTAAAATGGTAAATTTTATGTTATGTATTTTTAGCACAATAAAAAGTCGGCAAATATCCTGTTAATATGTATATCACATATTCACATTTTAAATTAACATCATGTACATATATTATTATTATTATTATTATTATTATTATCATCATCATTTTGTGGTGCTGGAGATGAAACACATGCATTTTAAGCAAAGACTCTACCACTGAGCTATAACCCCAGCCCCTAAGGTGATTTTTAATTGAATCTAGCCAAAGAAGTTTTCAGTGAGATAAATATTGGCCCGAAGTCTAAAAATGTATACCTATTTTTAAAATTAAATAAATAGCAGGGGGAAACCCATTAAGGCTAAGCCTGAATACACTGAGAAATATTGTATGTACCATTTACTAGTTAACACATTTGGAAAAAGGTATGATTTCAATACTAAACAATATAGGTTTCTTAAACTGAAATCATAATCCTAGGTCATTACTTTGTGAGAAACATTTCCACTGAATGGAATACTTGTGAGGATGCAGTCAGGAGAAGCTAATTTAGCTATGAACCCTCTTCTCTTGCAGCACTGCATTCCTCTCAGACACTGGCTCTCTGAAGAAACATCCTGGAATAATGTAAAGCTGATATTAATTATATGACATCAAAGGAAAAAAATTAGGACTCAACAGTGGACCAGGGGTGGAAGACACAGGAAAGGGTTTTTGTCCTTGGAAACATCTATGCACACACAAACTATTTCACTTTTCTCTTCCAGGTACAATAACCTCTTGGGTAGTGATTTTTATTCTGCCTATCAACAGTGCTTTGAACCCAATTCTTTATACACTGACCACAAGGCCATTCAAAGAAACAGTTCACCAGTTTTGGTACAACTACAGACAAAGAAGGTCTATTGACAGCAAAGGAAGCCAGAAAACATACCTGCCCTCATTCATCTGGGTGGAGACGTGGCCACTGCAGGAGATGCCCCCCGAGTTTATGAAGCCGGCTGCTTTCACAGACTCCTGTGAAATGTCACTGATTTCTCAGTCAACACGACTCAATTCTTGTTCATAGCTGACATGAAAGCCCATTTCTTCACAGAGAATGCTGCGGGGTGCTCCAGGAGGGATTGCTGGACATGAAATAAATACCATAAAATTAATAGATTATAAATTTTAATGGCTAACACAAATTAACTCACAGGACATAAAGGAAAAGATAGTTAAAGCTTATATAAAGGAAAGTAATTATAATGTATATATATGTATATATTTTGCATAGGAAATTAAAAGAAATCTACTGCAGAGAGACTAAGTCATTCTTCTATTATGCATTTATGGAGCGCCCCCTGTGTACTTTGCATGATAGTAGATTGCTGGAAATAGGCAGTATACAACCTTTTCAGCGTGTCAGCTGTGCTCACCTATGAAAGACTCCACAAAGTTCTACTACGTCACTTTGTGTGGCATGCATATCAGGGAAAATATGTTTGCAAAGTACAGATGTTCTGTTTTAAGAATTCTTATCTGTCTTCAGGTCTCCATACACTTACAAGTCAATACGATATTTATTGCTATGAACAAATGTTGCTTTTCTATAAGCCCAAAACAATGTTTCTGTGTCACTTCCTGCTCAGTTTTCTCTTTGCTAGGCATCATCCTATTTCTGGAATTAGGAGAATGGCAGTATCAAAAAGGAGCAAGCCAGAAAAAATGAGAATGAACATAAACATTTAGATCAGTGGAAGAGAACTGAGTTCAAAAATAAAATCTCGTGGTTTTAGTCCATCAATTTTCAGCAAAGGTGCTGAGATCATGAAAGGAATAAAGAGTGGTATTTTCAACAGACAATACTGCAACTCCTGAGTGTTCACATGCAAGAGAAAAAAAATGGACTCAAACATCTCATTATCTACAAAACTCAACTTAAATCTGCAACTTAAATATAAGAATCAAAATATAAAATTCTTAGAAGAAAGCATAAGAGTAAGTCTTCAACACTGAATTTTCCAATAAATCCATAGATCTCACAACAAAAGCATCAATAAAAAAGGAAAAAACATAAATGGGATTTCTTCTGAATTAATTTGTGTGCATCAAAGGAGCTTACCAAGAAAGTAAAAAGACTACTTACTAGGATATAAGAAATAATGCAAATCATAGCTCTGGAAAAGGCTTAGCATCCACAATATACAAAGAACTCTTAACTCAACAACAAAATTTTTCAATAGTCAGTCTTAAATAAACATTCATTCAAAGAAGTTATATAAATGGCTAAAAAGCACATTAATGTGCCCCACATAACCAGTCATTACTGAAATCTAAATTAAAACCACTGTGTGGAAAAACACTTCTCTCTTAGTAAGCAGGATAATCATCAATAAATAAATGCCGGCAAAGGATGTGTACAAATTAAAACCCTTATGCAATTCTGGTAAAGATGAAAAATAATTTAATCATGCAGAAAAGTTTGACAATTCTTAAAACTAATGTAAAAATATACTTACCATATGACCCAATGTATTAGTTGTTTTCCTATTACTGAAACAAAATAGCTGACACCCAAAACTTAAAGAGGAGGTTTACTTTGGCCCATGCTTTCAGAGGGTTTGATCCATAGTCAGCTGGCTTCAAGGTAGAAAGAATCAGAAAGACTGGTGGAAGAAAGCTGCTTGGTCCATGGTAGCCAGGAAGCAGAGAGAAGGGGAAGAGCCTGGGCAAAGAACACACTCTTCTAGATCAAGAGCCCACTGCCTTGGCCCATTGCCTACTAACACATTAACCTATGAGCTTATCAGTGGATTCGTCCACTAATTAGAGTAGGACCTCCATGATCCAATCACAATCCAAAATTTCTACCTGTGAGCATGAGACTTTTGGAGATCATTCTTGATCTAAAGCATAACACACAGCAATTTCACTCCAATAAATCCAAAAGAATGAAAAATAAGAATTAAACACACTTTAACGCAAATGTTTATTGTAGCATTATTCACAATAAAGGATTAAAATAACCCAAGTACCCTGATGAATAAACCAAATATGATATATACACACAATAGATAGTATTAAAAGAAGTTAAGTTCTGAAAGATACTACCACATGAAGATGTGATATAAGATAAACATAAAAGGAAAAATAGTGTATAATTCCATATATGTGACATAAAATAAACATATTGATAAAGTTGGAAAGATTAGAGATTACTAGAGGAAGGTGACTGAGAAGATGATGACTGATTCAAGTAATCATTATAGGCTTTCAGAGTTGTCAAAAAAGTAATCTCAAGAGTGAAAAATTGAATGTTATACAGATACTAGTACATTACTTTTGGATAACACATAACTGAGTTCTCCACAGAAACACAGATCCCTAGATATATATCACTCATATTGGGAGGGCTAAAATGAATTACCTTATGTGAACACAGTAGCTAACAATTCTAAAAATCTGCCAGCTCATGTCGAAAGCCTGGCAGGTTGTTATACAACCAAGAAGAGCCATTCTCAGTTCAGAGGCTATCAGGCAGAACTCTTTCCTGCTAAGTGGATGGACAGTCTGTAAGGAAAACTTACAGGAAATCTTAGTGTGAGGTTACGCCAATATATTGAAAGGAAAGAACACAGGGAGCTCAAAACTTGGAACTTAAAGTACTGAATGACAGATGCTGCAGTAGAAACATTATACTTGGAGGAAGAGCTATGCAAATGCAAAAAATAAACCAAGACCTTAAAAAAATACAAAAGAAAAAACATTTCATTTGGGTTAAACATCTATATGTTAAAAACTCTTCTAACTTTTTAGAAAGAAAAATAGGATGTATCTTTATAATATTTCTTATAAAAACTCAGAAAGAACAAGCCATTATGAGACTACATTAAACTACATTAAAAATAAAAACATTTATTCAAGGAGACGCCATAATCAAAATACAAAGATCAACTACACTGTGAAAGACAGTTGAAATATGTGTAGTATCATTAATGTGCAAAATACATAATATCTACAAAATCACAAGGAAAAGGTAAAATAGAGAAATACTTTAAAAATATGGTCTCAGAAATCACACACCACATTTCCTCAGAATTCTGGATTTTGAGTTTGAGCTGGTTACAGTCAGCACTCTCCAGTTTGGTTGATGGCTACACACAACCACGAATTCAGGACAGAGGAAGTCACTGAGCCATCTGCATATTTGGCTGATACATACATGAAACAGCATTTGACAATGCTTTGAAAACATATATGCATACTAAATATATAGAAACACAAAGGAGCTGGAGCATAGCTCACTGTAGAACATTTGGTAGAACACTTGAGTTCAATCTCCATCTTCCCAGCACAACAACAACAACAAAACCGAAACCCAAACTACAACCCAAATACATACACACATAGATCTGAAGAAAATACATTCAAATACATTTATGAAATCTGCATGGTAAGGATGGGTGGATGTTCTTTGAAACAAACACCCTTTGAAACACTCTCCTTTCCTGTATGTTTGAAATATGTCAATAAAAAGAAGCTGTATATCAAGGAAGTATTCCTGAAGTGTTTCCAGATGCTCTCAGACTTAAAGAGTTCAGGAAGGAATATTGTAACATCCCTCCCTGTATGGGGTTAACTGAGTAATCCTCGGGCAATGTCTCCTTAAGCACACTGAGATCTGCCTGGAAGAAAGGGTGGCCAAAATTATACTGGAGAATTTGAAAGCTTTGTAGAGGAGCCTGAGCCTAGCATGCATAGCAGAGTCCATAGGCTTGCAGGTGGACAGTGGTGATGCTGAGAAACTGATGGAGAAACACTCAGAGGAACTGTCTCCAGCGGAGCTTCAGCAACTTCTGGCTGAGCACCAATGGCACCTGAGGAGCTTTCTGAAGAGGAGGGAAGCATCAACAACCAGTATACCACAAAGTTCTTCGCTGAAATACAGGAAATCCTGAAAAAATGCCTAAGGTGGCAAACACTTGTGGAGTAGACCCACCGAGACAGAGAAGAAGCTGATCATTGCATTCACTCCCTTAATGACAGTGTCATGTCATACGACAGAACAAGGTAAAGAGAATAAGGTAAACAGAGAAGACAGAAACAGACCACCTGAGATCAGCGTTTAGTTTTGAAAAGGTTGAGACCTGGTGATCCAGGAGAGAAAAAGGACCCCAGAAGGGCAGATTCCTGCTGTTCTCATGGAAGGGGATGCTCCTTCCAACAATAACCACCCTTCTACAAACCAAAGACCTCAGTTCCAATGGTGAGGACAGTAGGAAATTGTTATTTCCGGTGAATTAGGCAATTATACCACTCTTTTTTTATTATGGAAAAGGTAAGGGTTGCTTTAGGAGGTTCCGAATGCATTACAGGTATTTCCATCATTGCTCACGGGAAAAAGTCTTGGCTAACAACCAGCTTGAGTTACAACCAACGCTCCGCCCCTGAGCCAGGAGGGCACGTGACCTGTGAGTCCCCCCCACAACTGGGCGCCCAAAGCCCAAAGGCCCCGCCCTTCCCACCAGAAGTCCCGTCCCTTCCTCTAGACGTCCCGCCCATCTCCTCATGGGTCTCAACCCTGAACCACAAAGACAATAATTTCCAGACAGCCTGTCAGACTCAGTCAAAACAATTTGGTCTTCTCACCGCACCTGCGCAAACTCCCAGTAGATGCGAAGGCACAAGAGCAAAGGACTACAGTTCCCAGGATGCTGTGCGCACACCCCCCCCCGTGCTGCCAACACGCATGCGCATGTGCTGGGGCGCCAGGGAAATTCTCACTTCCAAGATAGTCGGAAGTGCGGGAGCAATACGTATCTGCGCTTCCTTTGAGATTTGGAGTTCGTTTTTTTTTCTGGTTAATTGGCTGGTAAGACTCAGTCAGGAACTCTGCTAAACAAAGGCGGCCTGGTGAGCGAAGGCAAACTTCCGTGGGGCCTTAGGAGAGTCCCGCACCCGATGGTGCTGCCTGCTACGGAGAAACCCGCGCGGAACTGCCCGCCAAGCGTCGGCCTTTGTGTGGCCCAGAGGGCGCTTGGGCGCTAGGACCAAGATGGTGCCGCCACCTAACCTGCCCTGTCGGGGTGGGAGGGAATGAATGCAGAGAGGGGCAGGCAGGTGCAGAGCAGGGCAGGTGGTGGGGGCAACCTGCGGTGCCACACGTGGGGGATGCAGGCTCCCCTCCTCTCCTGCCCCTCCTCTAATGTTTGCAGAAGTGTTCTTCCCAAATTACTGGAGTCAAAGAAACCTTCATGTGTGTGATTCTGTCTCAAAGTGATTTTATGTAAATCATAAATTTACACATCATATACTTT